GGGGGAGGGGGTTGAGTGGATGGGAAAGAAAGGTGGGGAGGAAGGAAGGAAGGTTGTTCTTTTTCTGGTTGTTGTTGTTATTGTTGGGAAGAGGATGGGAAGGAGGAGGATGGAAAGAGGATCAATGTACGTATGGACGTATTTACGTACGATGAGAGAGAGAGGGGGAAAAAAAAGCGATAAGTGAGAAACCCGACAAAGAATTCATTGGTGGACCCATTCATATCTCACTCTGTCTTTACACACACACCACCACTTGTTATTCTCGGGCAATTGATACATACATACCTACATACAACAAAAAGCCTCTAGAAGCCGGTTGATCCTGCTAGAGCATCGCGCTACATCATATTATGCAAACTAAGACACAGGCACAAACGACCGTTTCCTCAGAAAGGAAAAGGGAAGAAGAGAAAAATAGGAGAGACGCAAAGAGTAAAAACTTTACTCCATACAATGATGTTGATGTTAATGTTGATGATGATAATAACAATGACGACAATGATGATGTTTCCATACCTGACTCCAATTTTCACCGCAACCACCCGATTTGTTCGCAAGGAGATTCATGATCAAGGGGGTAGTAGAAAAATCAAAAGAAAATCCAGATGTACAGCTAAACCCATCCAGCCTCTCTCTCCACTGCCACCCCACCACCACCATCCAGCCGACTCCCCATTTCATTCCAGTCTGTCATCGTGGTTCGATCCATCCTAGAGCATGCCATACGCACTTGTTCACGCTCCCTTAGCAACCTTGCCCTACCGCATCATCCGCCCACCACCCGTCTTGTGCTCACTCAACGATAGAATCCATCCGCATCATCCCTCGCGCCTCCGCCCGCCATAGCCGCAGGCGGCTGTCCCCACCTCTGCGCCGGTGCCGCGCCCGCATTGGGGTTGTAAGCCTGGTAGCCACCGCCGGCGCCTGGCGGCGGTGCGCTGGGACCGCCGGCCGGAGGCAGCGTCACCGTGCTCTGGTTGAACGCTATGTACGGGCTCTGGCCGGGCGGCGGCGTGTTGCCGGACGGCGGGTACGCACCGGGCAGTGACTGCTGGTGCTGGTGTTGCGGCGGTTGCTGCTGGATGTACGGGTCCGACGGTCCCTGTGGAGGCTGGGGCGGGTAGGCTGAGGATGGTGAGTCGTACGAGGATTGGCGGTTGGCTTGCGGCTGGGGTGGGTAGCCTGGTGCAGAAGCCGGGTCTGTAGGCACGCCGGGAGGGGCTTGGTTGGGTTGTGGAGGGTAAGCGTTGTAGCCCTGCTGTGGAGGCGGCCTGGCATCAACTGGGCTGTTGGCCGCCATTTCCTGGGGAAATGCCATAGATGTGGGCCGCCCACCAACAGGCACGCGCTGCGGAACATAAGAAAGGTCTCCATTTGCTGGTTTAGGGCTAGCGACTTGTGCAGAAGGAGGTGCCTGTCCGGGCTGGGCCATCATAAAGGGCTGGGGCCCGTTCTGAGGAGGATACCCGTAACCTTGGTCTGCTGCGGGAGTGGGTGAGTAATACCGTTCCTGGGGAGGAGGCCCTTGCGGAGGATAGCCACCGTATGGAGCACTCTGAGGCGGAGGGGCGCCAGCGCCATAGCCGTAGGGTTGGCGACCGTACCCGGGCTGTGCTGGTTGCGACATCGAGGCTTCAAGAAGAGTTTCGTAGTCGCGACGTGCCTTGATGAACTTCTCGTTCAGCTGCGTAAAGTCGTCTGGAATACGGTTAGTAACAGACAGACATATTCGGACAAGGATTTCCACTCACCCTTCTTTTGCGAGTATTTGCCAATGAGCTCGATCAACTTCGGCCGTATCGACACAGTCTTGTGGTACAGTGAAGTGATCTCCTCGTTGTCCCTTGCATCGGCACTCGAGCTAGTGCTCAACAGAGCCAGCAACTTCTCGACGTTCTTGATCTCCGCAAATACCTCGGCCTCCATCTGAGCTTCTCTCTCCAGCTCCTCTTTCGTAGGGTCCTGCAGCTTTTCGACGTAGTTCAGAGGGAAGATACCCGTCTGTCCGCGCAGAGAGCCTTTCCACCAGTCCTTGTACACAGATTCCAGGACTGCAATAATGTCGCCCTTGCGGAAGGCCAGCTCACCGGGCTCCGAGGGCGTGAAGTCATAGAGGGCTCGAACACGGGAGACAGTGGCTGCTGTGGTTCCGGACGCAATGGCTTGGTGCTGCTCTTGTTCCGGGGCGGGTTGTTGCGGAGCGCTTGCTTGCGGCTGGTTGGACCTGGCAGCGGACGGCTCAGTTCCGCTTTCCTTGACCGAGAGGGCCAAAGCCATCTGTAGCTCTTCCTCTTCCTTCTGGCGGTCCGAGTCTGTGATCTGGGTCTTCTGGGGCTTCGATGGGGGTCGCAGGTTGGGATCTACAACACGTCAGTCGCTAAGTCCCCAACGACCAAAGTAGAGCCGGCGCACTTTGTGTCTTAAGCCTCATGTAAGCCTGTTCCATGATTCCGAGATCAGGGTCCTTGGCGAACATCTCGGTCCACTCGCCCATGCGCTCCAGAATCTTCGCCTTGACCTGTTGGTGTGTGTTCCGGTCATTTGCCAAACGTAGAAGGGCGTCGGTGAAGCTCCGCGAGGCCAGCTCCTTGTGTATCTTCAGGCCGCAGTTCTGCGACAATGCGTTCGCCAGCTAAACGCGTGCGCGCAATCCCAGCGTCAACGTTTGAACGCAACATGGACATGTAGCGGGGACCAACCTCAAGGGTGTATAGCTGGACATTGGCGTTGCGATGCGCCATGCGCTTGATCAAGGCAGCAACGACATCCTTCGCCCTGCGGATTCCCAACCGTGAGTCAGCCTTCACCGACCAAGAAGGTGTTGCGAAACAAGCACGTACCCGCTATCGCTCGCGCCGACCTTGTCGCAGACGTCCTGTAGGCCTTCTCAGCATTCGGTCACGCGTCACGGAAGCGCGGGGTGGCGGAGGCGTACGAGTATGTATTCCCAGTTCTCGCTCGTGAGGTTCTCATCCGTAGCTCGCACTGCAGTGCACAAGCTCGGCCGTTAGCGAATGCCTCCATCTATGCGTGGCGGGGGTGCGGGCAGGCAGAAGAGGCGCGCTCTCCCCCGCTGCGGCGCCGGTGCCCCGGGAAGCTGCGCGAGACTCACCGACTACGTCGTCAAACTGGTTCGCCTGCGCGCGGAACATGGTTGACCGGGGCGCAAGTTTGTCGTCGAAAGCAAAGACGCGCGGGGGTATCAGGGAAACGGGGGTATCAGGTGAAGTTGGTCCGGGGTCCGGGTGGGCGGTCGCTGTTCGGAAGTGGTTGTCGGACTGTAGGTGTTGAAGCCTAAACAGGTGCTCTGGGGGCTCTCCGGCGCCTTGGCAGGCGTCACCGCGAAGTGGCGCCCGCCCGCAGCCACGCCCCGTACCCGCCTACTACTCGCACAACACGGGCAACCATGCGTGACGCGCTCACACCTGCCCAACGACCCTTTGCAAAGCCCCCACAGCCGAAAAGCCCAGTGAATTCGGCTTGGGGCCACGCAACCTCAGCTCTGGAAATGCACCGCCATTGCGAACGCGTAACAGATCCTACATTAATGGCGGCCTAATTACTAATTACTATTCTGTTGTGCACCGCCTCAGCATGGCACTTGTTAAATCCCGCAGTTCCCTTGTTTACGCATTACAGGATGCCCACGTACGTACTTGCGTGGACATACTAAGGCTTTTGTTGTTTCCAAGGCCAACACGCTGGATGGAGTTTAGTACTCAACAGAATTTCGCATATTGCGCGCCCAAGCGAACATGTCGGACAGGAAAGGGAGAGTTCCATTACATCCAGCCGCTCTTGCTCGTTTTCGTGCCCATCGGCCCGCATGACCTGTCCCAACTTCCTTTTCAACCAAATGGGGACCTGGTCGGTGAACTTAGAGGGCCGTAGTGTGTAAATACTAAAGGGGGGGGAAATATCCTACTTTTCGTAGAGGGGGGTTAATGCTGTAGGGGGGGTTTATATACAGATGATGAGGTTTGCGGAAGGGAGGAGAAATAACTACCGCATGATGAGAAGAAATGAGAAACATCAAATTCCCGAGAAAAAAAAACACGCCCTGGAAATCCTAAACGCCCTTCTTCCAGCCTTGGACGATTCCCCCTTCTCTTTCCCTTTGCCATCCACCCAAAAAAAGAATTAATAAGAAAGATTTTTGCCGCCGTATCGCCATCGCCACGTACCGGTCCCTAAAGGCAACGCGAAAAAAGGCAATGACAAAGGTGTGGATTTCGCCGAATCCACTGCACACCGACGCAGTGCCGTACGGCCTCAAAAGGCCGCCTAGGCTTCGACAGACACCTCGGCAGATGCTCCAGCCGACATGTGGGACGACGAGTCGTTGTCCTCAGCACCAGCCTCGGCATCGCTAATGTTGTCGTTGCCATTATTAGAGCTTTCGTCCCCCGTGTTCTCAGCTTCCCGAGCATCATGCGTTTCCGTCTGGCCTGGGCTGGGAGTTGCATGCTCAGCGCTGTTCTCAGTCATGGCGGTTTGCTGGCCCCCAGCCTGTGCGTCGTCGGCGAGATCTGGGGATGCTCTAGCGGTCGGAGCTGGAATATCCTGGTTCTGTGCCGATAAAATCGCCTCCACCACGGCCTTGCCGTCCATGGCATCACCAGAAGCGGCGCCCATCGCGGAGCTCTCAGCACGGGGCTCTTCCTCGGGGAACAAGTGTGGATACTGGCTCTGGGCCTGGGTCAAAAAGGGCGTCATCGAGGGTGCTGATGTTGGCTGCGGTGCTGGGCTAGCGACTTCGATATGACGAACCCCTTCACCCTCGAATTCGGACGTTGCTGTTTCTTCGACCAAGAACTCACTCTGCCCGGGAGAAGGCCCGCCGACATCGAAGAAGTCTCGGAAGAACTCTCCTACAGCCAATGCCATTTCGTCAGCCCTGACAAGAGCCTCAGCTTCCTTAGCACGACGCTCCGCTTCGGCCAATTCTTTGAAACGGGCGGCTTGGCGCTCGGCATCGCGGCGGCATAGCGTCTGGACTCGAGGTTTCGTCGAGCAGACCGGGCAATGGTAGTGGGTGGAGCAATATGCGCACGAACAAGCAGGGTTGACGTTCAAGCAGCCCTAGAAAATCAGTTCAAAGCCGGAAGTCAGGAAAAAGAGTGAACTCACATCGCAGACCAAAACGCCACAATCGCCGCATTCCCTCATGCCCGCATTGCACCGCGGTCGGGAATCACCAACTGGCCGAAGCTGCTGGCAGAAGTACGCGCCACAGCCTCGCCATTGCACCGGGTGGCGTGGTGTGCCGGGCAAAGGCAGCCTCATGCGCGCTCGTTCCAATTCCGCAATTCTCTTTCCCAACGCATACTGCTGAGCGTCATTGGGTGCTTTGCCCTTAGCCCACGGTGATAACGAGCGCGGCGAGCGGTTTTCAGAAGCGCTGAGCGCACGGGGGCGCGAGGAGAACGGAACGTTGGAAGAAGCCCCCTCTACTAGATTTTTCAAGGCAGGAATAGAGTTCGACATGTCGGACTCGTCCTCGTTGGGATTCGAAGTAAACAGGAACGACTTCGTTATGCTCCGAAGGTCCGGGTTGGAAGAAGAGTACGAATCGGTCGAATCTTGGGCCTCCATTGCACTAGACATGTCTGCACGCTGGCTCGGTGGCACGTATGCTGGTATGTGCAGGTCAGGGTACGAGACCGGCATTGCTGTCGGAGTGTGCGCCCTCAAGTATTCCCGCTCGATTTGCAAATCTCGGAATCCACACTTTCGCACTTTCAGGCCTCGGAAGTCATGCTCCTTGCACAGCGGCCTTTTGCACGTTTTGCAGGCGACCTTCCACCGGAACGTGCGGTAGCAGTCTGTGCACAAACTGCGCGGGCATGTCGATGCCTGAAGGTCCAAGTGCTCTTGCTGAAGATACGGCACAATGTCCACGTGCTCCCCCAGTACGTGCTCGTAAAGGGTGGCGTTCTTGAGTTCCCGTATCAGTTCTGGTGATCGCAGAACCGAAATGAAATCTGCATCCTCGAACTGTTGGCCCTTTGGCAGCGGCGTGGCGCGTATTCTGTCGGCTCCTTTACCGCCTACGCCTGGTCCCAATACCACTATTCCTCCGCCTCCAGAGAATACCGGTTCCACGCAGCACCAACTCATGTTGAGCTTGGGCGGAGTTGTCACATTCATGACGGCTAGCGGATTCCCTCCATGGAGCGGTCCAGCATCGTCGGAATCAGAGGCATCGTCGTCGGAGGTAAGTTCGGTCATCAAATTCGGGGATCTCGTCGCGCCAGGTGCCCACCAGAACCGGTTGCTCATCTTCTTCTCTTCTTCTTCCGCCGTGGCGGCCTGCTGCGAGCTGGACTGAGCGGCGCTGGCATTCGACATCATCACTCCGAAATTGCTCATGGTTCCAAACGCCTGGTTCGTGAAGGCGCGGTTCGTCCTTTTCCTCTTCCGCGGAATTGGCCTGTTGAACGCACAGCTCGCGCACAGCGTCTTCCTGCAGCCCATGCAGTGCATCCGAATGCTGCACTGCTCGCATCTCTCCAGGACGGCGTCGCCGCACTGGTCGCACTTGACGTCCTCCACGAAGATCCGATGGCTTCTCCGAAGGTGTGCCGGCAGGTCCTTTCCTTCTCCCCTATGCGGCCATCCAGTGCTCGTGCCGAGCGGCTCCCCATCGTGTCCACTCTCCGCATCCTCCCACATCCTTCCGTCGGAGCGAGCGGGCGGGTTGTCCGAGTCCGGCGGTCCTATCCTGTTTCCCGAGCGCCACAGCCTGTCGAACGGCACCCAAACCTCGTTCGTGCCCGGCGCAGCGCGGCCGGAATAATAGTCTTTTCTCCGGAAGCAACGGCCGCCGGGGGTGGTGCACCACATGGTATCCGTCCAGATGTCGAGCTGGTGGCATATTTCGATGAGCTGGTGGGTGGGCTCCGAGTCCGAGTCGCGGCGCATCAGGGACGAGGGCAGGTACGGGCGGCGGCGATGGTGGCGGCAGCGGTACGTGTACAGGCTGCGGAGGGCCAGCTCGCTCGACTTGGCCCACGGGCTGCCCGGGTGCACGTACGGCTCCAGGAAGGGCACCAGATGGTACTTGATCGAGACGTTCTTGCAGCCGCGCACGCTCAGGTGCTGCAGCGTGTGCACGCGCGGCTCTAGCACCCGCGACACCAGGCGCACGCCCGACACGGCCGTGTTGCAGAGGTCCAGGCTCGTCAGCCGGGTGCCGAACGGCACCACCACCTGTATCAGCAGCGCGTCCAGGGCGTACTGCTTGGCGTTGCGCCCCGGCCCGTCGAGCGCATCGCCGTCCGGGTTGTTGACGCCCAGGGCGGGCTGGGGGGCGCGGAAGCTCAGCGTCCGCCATGCCAGCGGGTACTCGGCCAGGAAGCGTCGCAGGTGGCGCGAGGTGTGGAACAGGTCGATGAGCGAACGCGTGGGCAGCGAGGCCAGGAGGCTTTCGGCGACGGTCGGATGGGTCGTCAGGACGGTCTCGAAACGGCTCTTGGGGGCGGGCGGGCGGAGGGCGGATGACAGGCCGGTGGCGGAGGGCATGACGGCTACGGCACTCGTGGGTTGGTCGTGTGAGGGCGCGCCGAAGAGGTTTGACGGTGAGGCGACGGGAAGTGTGAGGGCCTCCATGTCGGCGGCGAGCTGCACGGCGTCAGGCGGGCGGAAAGGGTCCTCTCGTCGCAGAGGCGGCGGCGGGGTGCAGATGCTCAGGCGGGCATGTAGGCTGGGAGGGCGAGGGCAAGGCGACTCCTTGTGGGCGGTGGTGCTGCAGGTCGGCGTGTTCTGTGGTGATTTGCGTCGTCGCACGCGCCCTATGGTTCTACCAAGCCTCCCCGGCCCGCTGCATCCAGACTTGGATGGACTAAGAGCACACTCCAAGGGGGCACTGATGCCGCCGACGCCGGCTGCGCGCACAGCAGACAAGACATTCACACCAGCATCTACCTGCACGCTTTGTAGCTATGGCCAGAGCCGCATCCGCGCAACGGTCGCTCGTTGCAAGCCTCACCTAATCTCCGCACCGTCCCCAACAACATATCCCCTCGCCAGCCCGCCTCTGCCCTCCTCAACCCGCGCCCCCCTTTGCGCCCCCTCTCCGCCCGCCTCGCCGTCCGCCTGCGTATCGAAGTCGCTGCCCAGCCCCTGCCACGTCCGCTGGCTCCGCAGGAACTCGGCACCCGGCGACGACACGCCACCAATCTGCGCGACATGGCCGTTGGCACGCTTGATAAGGGACCGCCCGCCAGCTCCTGGCGCCGCGCTGGCTCCGTTGATCTGCGCAGCGCCCTTCCGCTCGCTCGCCGCCGCCGTCGCACGCATTGGCCGCGCGTGTGAGACATAGCGCCCGGTGCGGAGGTCGAACTCTGGCGGTGCCGATTCCTCTTCAGAATCCCACCCCTCCTCTCCCGCCGCGGCGTCGCCCGTCTCGCCGTCACCCTGCCCCTCATCCGCCGCCACCTGCGCCTCGTCCGCCCTCGCTTTGAGCACTGCCTGGAAATCGCCCGTCCACTCCCCCGTCCACACGCGCTGCGCGTCATCCTGTAGCGTGAGCTGCAGCTCGAACGGCGTGATGATGGGTTTCCAAAAATCCTTGCTCTCGATCAAACTGCTCTCCCAGCACCCAATGACGACCCAGCCGCCGACTTCGGAGAAATTGGCCACCTTGGCCGCATTGATCTTGCCCACCACAAACGTGTAGCTCTTTTTCCCCGCCGCTGCAATCATCTCCTTGACGTGATCCACAACGTGCAGGTAGTTCTTGACCGAGAGCGTGTTGATCAGGATGCCGAAGACGGGCTCGACGCTGAGCCGTGTGAGAAGGCCGTAGCGACGCCGTAGCGTCTGCGCCGACGACGCGAGCAGCGCTTCTGTCGGCTTGTCGGGCGTGTCCGTCGGGTATATATGTATGGCGCCGACGCGGGACGACAACGTGAGGAGCAGCGAAGTCGGCGGGTCCGACACATGGAATAGCTGATAGTCTCTGAGCGCCGCTTGGTCTCCCTTGACGTCGTCCGGCACGCTCCTGTTCGGCAATGGCGAGGACGGGTCGTGAACAATCTCCGTAAGAAACAGGGCCGAGTACCCCTCCTCTGTCCGCAGTCTCTCGCACAGCGCCGTGAGGTGATTCGCATACGGAATGTCCGCCATCAGCACGACCTTGGCATCCCTCGCGGGATACGTCTTCGTAAACACCTCCACCACGGGGTCCAGCTCCAACGGCCTCGTCGTAAACACATACACGACCGGCAGCCGCGCCGTCGGCGACAAACACGCCCGCCCATAGTGCACCACCACCTCCGCATCCACATGCTCCGCCGCAACCTCATCCACGCAGCAAGCCCCGTACGACGTGTCTCCCAGAATATAAAGCTGCTCCTCCTCCTCCTCCTTCTCGACCTCCCCCACCGCAGGTGCTGCTCCTCCCCGCCGGCCCTCCGCCGCACCACCAATATCCACTCCCGCCAACCCCTCCGCCGCACCATCCACATCCACATCCACATCCGCGCCCACATCCCCGCTCACCCGCCGCCCCTCCTCCTCCTCCTCCCTCCGCGCCCTCCGCGCCCCCGCCAGCCCCCTCCCCAGCGCCGCATACACCCTCGGCGCATCCGCCAACATGCGGTCGGGGAACTGCAGCGCGACGCGCTTCCAGCGGGCGGCGCGGATGGTGCGCACGGTGCGCTCGACCTCGTACGTGGCGGCGAGCTGGGCGTCGGTCAATGGCGGTAACCGCTCATCGTCGGTGGAATGCGGCGGCGGGGTGGACGGGTCTTCGAAGACGTGGGTGTCGGGGGTGGAGAGGACGGGGGCGACTTGGATTTCGATCGGGATTGAGGCGGCGGCGGCGGCGGCGGGCATGGTGTCGGCTGGCGGCGGTGGGAAGTGAGGGGGGGAGGTTTCTTTTTTTTTTTTTTTTTTGGGAGTGCGCGCGCGCGCTCTCGTTCTCTCGTTCTCTCGTTCTCTCTCTCGCGCTCTCTCTGTTGGGAGTGGAGGTGGGAATTGGGGGGGGAGCTTTGGAAGGGGGAATGCGAGGCGGGGGTTTGGGTGGTGACGTTTTTGATTTTTTGCTCTTCGCTGCAGAGAAGAGGGAAGCGGGGGAAAAATATCGCGCGTACCTAGGTAGGACGAGCGGCGGGCGGCGGCGGCGGCGGCGGGCGGCGGGGCAGAAGATGCGCGAGTCATGCTTCATTTATTGCCTGCGACGGGTCGTGGGCGCCCGCCGCCTTCAATGGAGAGATCATGCTCATTTCTTGGAGGCATGTCAAGTTCGAGTAGTCTTTGGCCGAAGTTTGATGGCCAATCGGGGCTTTTGCATAGTCTGAATATGTGAATCAACACCGTAAGCTGGACAAAGTTATAGTGTTGCATACGAACATGCTCCCCGCTTCAAGCTTACCCGGTGGACAATTGCTGGAATTATCACCGCCCAGTAACATTCGTTGTGTTAGTAACACTCAAAGTTCATCTACGGTCTTCGATTACACTGTCATCCAAGTGCGAACACGGTTTAATTGACTTTCTAATAAAAAAGTAAAAAGCGTCAACGCGGAAAGTGACATTCAACTATGAAGATTTCGTACGCCAAACAGATGCCTTTTCGTATATCATTACATGCTCTTCTTACGCATTACAGAAATTGCTAATGTAAACAGAAATTTCTCAAACGTCGGATACATTCATTCAACGCCCCAGGAAAGACTCACATCCAACTCATCCGCGTCTTTAGAGCACGAGAGCGATACAGGCAACAACAGCCGCTGCCATAGAGTAAAAAGTCGGCATGACAGCGACCGCGGCGCTGGTAGTTTTGAGCTCCTCCAACTTCATATCGGGGATGTACGTCGTAGCCGTGGAGTTGACTTTGCCGTCCCAGCAATACTTGTTGAAGCAATCCATGCACACGTCCGGCACGGTGGTGCCCGTCCTGTTCCAGCTGCGCGACATGATGGCGCAGCCCACGCAAGTCGGCCACTGCGCGTCGAGCGTGCCGTTGCCCATGGTCACGACGTCGTAGCCGTTCTCGACCATGGCGTTGCGCTGGCTGATGCTGTACTCGCGCGTGAAGGTGGAGACGTTGGAGTTGAAAACGTAAGGGGCGTTCGGGAGGTATACAACCAGCGGCGTGGTGTCGGAGAAGTTGCCGGGATCGCAGCCGAACATGGCGGGGCGGTTGTTCAGGCCGAGGTTGATGAAGGTGTTCTGGTCGGGGATGGAAGGGAAGATGGTGCCGTTGGCCTGTGTGACGTTGAGCGAGCGCTCGTAGGTTGCGACCATGGCGGTGCCGTTGGGCCAGCCCGGGGCCTCGGTGGAGACGGTATCTGCCGAGGAGTCGATGGCGAAGATGACATCGACGTTGCGCAGAGGTTGGACGAGCGGGGTGAAGGGGATGTTCTGCAGGTCTTCGCCTCCATCCACAAGCGTCAGACGCTTGCTCGAAGCACCCGGATTGGTCTTGTTGTTCCATTGGTAGAAGGGGTTGGGGGACCAGTCGGCAATGTCATCGTTGTCCTCTCCGACGGTGTTGAGGGCGCTGGTCAAAACACCCTTCAAGCTGTCGGGCACGCTGTCTGTGCTGTTGATCTGGAGCAGAAACTGGTTGAAGAGCGAGCTGGAGGTTCCAAACACAAAGCTGAGTGAATCGTAACCACGAACGCACTTCTCGCTCTCAGGAAGTTCTCCAGCACTGAAGTTAGATCCCACATAGCGAAGAGGGGCAAAGCCAAAGACAGTCGGGTCGAAAGATCCCATCTCCCAGGGGTTGAATTCAAAGTTGGTCGTGTTGCTGGAAATGACGAGTTGGCCGGGCTCCCTGCCATCCGCAACCAGGATGGGCATGGGGGCATCACCGTTCGTGAAGTACTCGTCATCCTGGATTGACGAATAGGTGTATGCAGGACCGCCGTCACTGGCATTGAGAAGCTGGAAGGAGAGGGCGCGGCCCCAATAGTCGGTGATGGAAGTTTCGTAACCGGCATCGACTTTACCGTTGACCTGGTCGTAAAGCGCCGAGTAGTACTCGGCTGTGTTCAAAATCTGGATGCCACCCTTTTCAGGGCCATCGAGAATGGAGTTCTGAAACTGCCAGAGGTCGCCGGACTGGTCGGGGTCGGCGTCGATGATGTTTTGTACAGAGGTGAAGTTGTTTCCATAAAGGGACGACACGAGCCAGCCACCTCCCGACAAGCCCGCGAAATACGTGGATGACTGCAAAAGGCCACCAATGTGACCACTGCCCGTCGAATTTGGCGTCCGGCTATCGAATGCTGCAACCGCGCCAGCGCCGTTAAGCAACGCACGGTAGCCTCCACCAGACACAGCGATACCAATGTTGGGCAAAGCAGAAACGTTGTTGGCGGCTTTGTCAATGTACGAGTCAGAGTCGAAGCCGGTGATATTGAGTCTGCTCAAGAGGTCTTTCATCGGGGACACGGTGTTATTGCGCCTTTTCTCGAGCCATGCCGTTTCGCTCGACGACAGAGACATGGCATTCCTGATAGAAGGCCTGGTCGAGGGGCAGTCGACCTTTTCAGGGGTGTAACCATTCGGAGCCTGGGGGCTGGCGCGTTTTAGTCCAGCGAGCGCAAGAGCGGCAGCCTGCTCCGGCGTCGGGTCGCGCGGGACCGCGACCACATTTGCTACGAGAAATGAGGTCAGCAAAGGTTGGGATTGCTTTGTGCAAACGGTCGGGGTCTGGGAACGATTGCAGCAAGATCAACGGCAGAGAAGGTTGGGGTCGTGCTCACCCGAAGCCGCAGAGAGCAGCAAAGACGCACTGACGGCGGTGTCAAGCTTCATGACTCTGCAAGGCTGGGAACGAAAGAAAGGGTGGAGTGCGGCGCTGAGCACGCGACAGCGGGCCGGGCAGCTTTGTAGGTTTTCAGGTCAGGCGCAGGCACTGCAAGGCTGCGGCATCAGCGGAGCCCTAGCAACGGGTAGACCGGAAGCGGCGCATGGAAATTGGGGGCTATGACATCTAGATCTGCACGGGGAGATGCAGCTGCTTATGCGTCGGCGCGCGGAGAAGGATTGGCGCCTGGCCTGCAGCGCTCCGAGTGCGCAAAAAACACAAGGCGCGGCGGGCCAGGAATCCGCAGCGCCGTGGTGCTGACGGGGCATTGTTTTCAGCCCCAGCCTTGCTCCCGTCAGCCGCAGGACGCGGCTACGTCAGTCACCGCTGCACGGCGGGATGATCCCAGCGAGCTGAGCGTCTGGTGGCCCTACCGCTCGCCGCAAACCATGACGCAGATCATCCCACTCCCTTATTGCTATTGTATCCGCGCATTATTGCACGCTTCGTTTGATCCGCAAGAGGCCCAGCCATTGGGTGTTTACTCTTCGCGACTGAATTGGCGCATTCCTCTGCCACTGCTGCTGCGCCACGCGTCAGCCGCCAGCGAGCCAGCGCACCAACATCCCAACACAAACTTCCCCACTTGCAACACCTTCACCGCATTCGAAAATGATCACGGGAACACGGTAGGCGGGTACGGTGCACGACTGCGAGAAGGAAGGGGTCTTACTCATGTGTACCTTTCACTACTGCTAAGCTGATGCTCCTCTCTTTAGCTCGTTACGGAGAATGCTGTCAGTATTGCGTGGCTTGAGCCCAGCCATCTGGCGGGAACCGCCGCCGTCGTGAAATGGCTACGGAGCAGACTCAGTTTGCACATATTATTGTTGAGTCGAGGTACGTAGTGCACAAAACAATTGGTTCTAAGTTTAACTTTAATTCTGCTGCATCTGCGTGGCAAGCCCTTCTATATTTAGCGCTGCGAGCTGATTCGCCGGGTCGCCGCGGAGCATTCAATTTGTGATTTTCCCATGTCTCTAAACCTCATCACACGAAGAGAACCGCACGTGGATAAGTCTACTACCTCCAGATTACCATGAACCTGCAGCCTCGTTCGCCCGAACCTGATGTATTGTCTATGAGAGGCATTGCTGCCTAATTGCAGGAGCAATGCGTGAGGTTGAAACACTACTTGCGTCCTCGTTCCACAAACAATACTGCCTTCAAAGTGTATTTAACTCCTCTATCTTTTTTTCTTGTCTTGCCCTGACCTCAAGCCAAATGACCCCCAGGATTTCTCGCTATGTTTCTATCCAAAATCTAGTAGCCTCGTCTAATATGTACGAACCCCTCCTCTAAGCCTGGGCCTTCACGGCTTCAACACCCACCTCTTGTATCGCCGGACCGGGCGCCGGATCCTCGGTCTGGCTGCCGTCCTCTAAGCTCTGCGCCAGCCATTCCTTCTCCTTCGCCTGCATCCTAAGGTTCTCGGCCTCCGAGAACGGCGCCGCGCCCCGATCTGCGCGGGACTCGGGAGTCTCGACGATGCGCGCCTCGTCGCCCGAGTCGGGAACGAACGTGTAGGTACGGTACTCGGTGTTGGCCCAGCCGGTTCCTGTGGGGAGAAAGAAAAAGAAAACCAATCAGCAAATACACATCAGAAGAGGAGGATATCCGCGGGGAGAGAGAGGGGAGAAGGAGGAAGAGAAAAATCCGATCCCACACACACACACACACACACACATACCGCAGTACTTATCAAACCCGGTCCAGTCCTGCGTAAACGTATGCAGCAACCCGCCATGCGTCACGACGACGACCTCTGCGCCCTCCTCCCCCGCCAGCTCCCTCAAAAACTTGCGGGCCCTCCTCGCCCTCTCCGCCACCGCCGCCGGCGTCGGCGCCCACACTCCCGTCTTACTATTCCACCCGTCCCCCACGCGGCTCCAGTCGACGGGCTGCCCCTCGAACTCGCGCTCCAGCTCGGCGCGGTCGGAGCCCGTGTCGCACGGCAGGTCGCTCGTCTCCTGGAGCTCGGGCAGGGCTATGACACGCAACTGTTGGGCGTCGATGGCGGGCGCGAAGGCGAGGAGGGCGGTCCAGAGCGTGCGCTTGATGGGGGAGGCGACGACGTGCGTGATGCGGGCCTGCTGCTGCGAGGGGGAGAAGAAGGCGCGCTGCAGGTCGGCGCACTGCTGCTTGCCGAGCGGGGTGAGGGCCGGGTCGTGGAGCTTGTGGTTGTCCGGGGTGAGGTTGTGGTAGCCTTGGGCGTGGCGGACGAGGTGGAGGTGCGTGGGCGGTGCCATGTTGGTTTGTGATGTAATTGCGGGAAGCGGGCGTGGGCGGCAGGGGTTTTCGTGGGGGGGGTTTTTTTTTGGGAGAATAAGTGCGGCGGGCGTCGACCGGTTCTTATTAAGGCGGGATGTGGATTTCAATCGGCTGGTCGGTCAGAAATGGAATGCGGATTGCTCGATTATTATGGTAGCGTGACGATGGACCATTGGAGAACGATGACTCTATAGTCTTCTTATTTGAACTCCGCCATGAGTCAGGCATGCGGCAGACAGCCGGGCTTCTGTCACCCCGGCGGACGACCTTCTCCGGCGGACGGCCTTGCCCCTCGTACGTCATATCCGCGCGCTGGCGATGGATTTCTCAGAATTTCTGCCGGCGAGCGGTCCAGAGCGATCCCGGCTAAAAGCCTGGACGGAATCTCCACCCGTCCATGGGAGACTGCCGCGATTCGGCCACGCTAGCACGTGGCACAGAAGGATTACCTGCATTCTCGAGAGTACAGGTACGGCTGCGCGTGGCAAATGGAAGGTGAGACGGATGGGTAGCTGGACCACTGAAACCGATGGCAGGTGGGGCGAGAGTGGGTGGGCTCCATGGTTTCGAGTAGAGACAATTGCTGCCACTCACAACGGCGAATTGTGTATCATAGCGACAACTACATATATGTTTCTATTCCATACAGCCACTTCCTGCATCCTCCAAATTCGTGTGGCTAGATAAACTGGCAATGAAGGCCTTGTTCCGTTCTGGCTTACAGTGTGTGCCCTTGACTGGTACCTTCTCTGTGGCTACCAGGACACCAATCTTGTGTATTTGATTTAAGGTCTCGTTCGTTATCGCTTAAGCAGACAAATCACTCTGGGGTTTCCGTAGGCAACATGATGGGGAACAGCGACGTTTGAATCCAAGTTGGTACAGGAAACAAAGAAAGAACAAAAAAAAGTTTAGTGACCTTCAAGAACGTGTAGTAAACCTTCTACTTGCTGGTTCTTCCTACTCTCTGCGCCAAGGTAATATGCGTTACATCCGAATTGTGTAAAAACCGAAGGCGCTGTGACGCACGGTTGGAGGCTCGGACGGCGGTGGAGCGGGCGGTGCTGGAAGCGGCGGCAGTGGCGGAACGACAGGCCATTCGGGAATTTGAAGGTTGCTCTTCTATCCCCCAATTCTACACATATAATTGCGCCGTGCAGGCGATCCAAGTGTGCAAACCCGGGTCCGGGGATCGGATCACCCTAGGTTCTCCGTGATAGCTCCACCATCACAACAGATGTCGTCCATGAGAGCATCCTCGTAAGATGTATACCGCAGTATCCGCGTCGCGGTCCGAACGGCGTCGATCTCCCGTCGGCTATCGCAGAGCATCCGATGTCCAAAAACGAGGGTCGTTTAATGTCAAATCTCTTTCTTCTCTTCTTTCCTCCGAGATGCAGCAGAGGGAGAGGGAGGGGGGCAGATTTCAGCACACAACACCACCGGCTCTGCAGACCTTCTTCGTCTTCGTCGTCGCCATCTCCACGATGGTCGTCACCTCCTCTTCCAACGTCCTCGCGCCAATCGCTCCCCCAGGATGATTCCGCTTGAAAACGCGGCCCTTCTCCCCCTCATGTATCCTCTCCGCCGCCGTCAGCGCCAACATGTCGCCCACAGCCATGGCCACCGTCGTGCTCGTCGTCGGCGCCGCCACCCCAAAACTCCTCTCCTCACTCTCATGCACCGGCGCCGGCAACAACACCGCCTCCTCCCTCCCCGCCAACAGCGGACACCCCCTCTCCCCCTCCTCCCACGCCGTCAGCGCCACCACCGGCACCCCCGCCGGCACGTGCGGCAACACATTCAGCAGCTCCGCCGTCCTCCCGCTGTAGCTGACAAACATGACGGCGTCCGCGCCGGGCCGCACGTCGCCGAGGTCGCCGTGCACCGCCTCGGCCGCGTGCAGGAACGACGCGCCGACGCCGAGCGACTTGAGCGTCGCGACCGTCTTGCGGCCGACGAGCCCGCTCTTGCCGACGCCGCAGACGACGAGCTTGCCGCCGCGGCGGTGCGCGCGCGCGACGATGCGCACCGCGGCGAGGAGCGACGCCTGCGCCGCGGGGGAGGTGGTGTAGAGGCGCGTGATGTGGGCGAGGGCCGCGGCTTCGGTGCTGAGGACGTGGAGGGCGCGGGATAGGAAGGGCGTGGTCTGGAGCGCGGCGGCGTCGGCGTCGTCGTCGTCGTCGTCGAGGTGCGCGGAGGAGGAGCGGCGTTTGCGCTTGAGGGAGTTGTGCGTCGCGCTGTCGAATTCGGACGAGGGAGGGGTCGCGGAGGTTGCTGACGTGTCGTCGGCGCATGTTGTGCTGGAGGCGGCGGTGCTGGCGGCCTCGTCGAAAGTGCTGCTGCTGCTCTCGTCGCTGTTGGTGGATTTGGGAGAGCCGAATGGCTCCAGCGGCGAGGTGGCGCTCATTGTCGGAGAGTGGGGGAGAGATGTGCTGGAGCAGATGGTTGGAGCGCGCGCGCTTTAGGCACCGTGGTATCTCTACTATCTTTTGGCGCGGAAAAGGCTTGGTGGGGCAGTCGCGATGATGCGATTGTAAGATTGCAGTGCCGAGTGATCAATGACGCGAAGACGCGGAGGGTCGGAGGTTCTCACGGCGCGGCACGGCCGAGATATTTATACAGAGACGGGCCCAATTGGAATAGCGTCCGGAGACCGGAGCAACTGAGGGTGAATTGGCAAGCCGATGCATGGTGGGTGGGACTGGGGATCTTTAAGGTGTAAGCTCGAGTCGTTTGAGGTGAGGACGCGCCGCTTGGCATCGGGTGTAAAGCGCAGCAAAGCGCAGCAGGGGTCTGGATGTCGCCATCCTCATGCGCTAGGCAGCTTGCAGCACGTCTTGCGCGACGCGACATCGTCCGGCCCATTCCAGCATCCACGTTTCCCAGACCTGCTGCCTGTCTGGACATGTGCCATGCCGCGTTCTGTGGTCTATGGCTTGAGTGGTGACGCGGATTGCTGAGGCCTGTGCTCCTCGACGACGCTGACTCTTGTCCCCGAGCGGTGTGTCGAACACGAAACCACCAGCAGGGAATCTTTTGCACCTGAACTCCCGATCTCCACAGCTTGTCTTCCCCACCGCGCTTACCAAGCACTGCCGTTTCTTTCCGGCCGTGAGATCCAGCTCGAGCGGGCCACCGGCTCGGAAGGGCGGACTACTGTCTGGATATTCATGCGAATGACGGCTCAAAAACCCGCTCCAATGGCGCGAAAAGCCCTTGATCGATGTCCGGCAAACGCTTGTGTCGAAGTACCTGGGTACCTATTCTGCATGTATAGCCATTGTTCTGCGCTTGATTATTGGGCTTCAACATAGGTTTCATATTCTACCTTTGGAATCAAAAACAGCCGTCGTCCAATTTAAGCTTCATTCCCCCAACATTGAGAAATCCTATGTGGGATCCCGAGTCCAACCATTGCGGGGGCCTGACGCTCCACAATTCTTTCTCTCCACGTGTGTTTGACCCTTGTAGCCTCTTATCAGATATACCCGATCGCGTTTTTCAGCCTTCCCGATAGCAAATTTTGATGGTATACTGGCCTCTTGTCCTAGCCAGGCTGGATAAAGCAATGTGCAATCTTAAGACACGAAACTCTAAACCGGCGTTCGGACAGAAGGATGATTCTGTCCTACCTACAATGTTATTCCGAAAGCTGGCCGCCGAAAATCGACAAACACCTTTTTCGAGTCTCGAGGTTTGGATCCAGCATTACATTTTTTCTTCGTTCGGCTCGGCTCTATCAAGTCACCGTAGATACAGGAGCCACCGTGCAGAGAGTGGTCATTCAAAGGAGACCGGCACGTCTGGCATTAAGTATAGCTCGAGGTGCCGTCAAGACCCGTAGGCCGACTACGTCAGGCTTAATCACTTAATCTCAAGGTGTCATGCAAACTGATTTTCTGTTCCATCTAAATGCTGGGAGAAAATGCCTAGGTACACGAATAACTACGCTCAAACAAATGCGAGAATCACCGACATTTACACTCGCACCTTGACTTTATTATTTACTCTTTCTTGTTCAGGCCCTCAACCCCACCTTCGAACTCGGTCACATCGTACTCGCTCTCATACTTCTCCAACAACCGCTTCATCTCTTCGATCTGCGCCTCAGACTCCTCCGTCACCTCCTCGTACACACCCTCCCACAGGTTCCGCAACGCCGGCCTCTTCTCCTTTTCGGCGCGGGCAAAGGCGGCGAGGACGTCCTTGCGGACGCGGCTGCGCTCGGCCTTCTCCTTCTCCTCGTCCCACAGCCCGCGGCCCTCCATCCACTTGCGCAGCCGGGTGATGGGATTGTCGCGGCGCTTCCAGTCCTCGACCTCGACGCGCGCGCGGTAGGCGAAGCTGTCGTCGCTGGTGCTGTGGTGCGAGACGCGGTAGCTCATGGCCTCGACGAGGACGGGCTTGCCGCCGTTCTCGAGCGCGCGGCGGCGCGCCTGCTGCGTGACCTCGTAGACGGCGAAGATGTCGTTGCCGTCGACGCGGACGGTGTCGATGCCGTAGCCGAGGCCGCGCGAGGCGATGCCGTCGCCGCGGTACTGCTCGAGCGTGGGCGTCGAGATGGCGTAGCCGTTGTTGCGGCAGATGAAGACGACGGGGCAGGACCGCGTGGCGGCGATGTTGAGCGCGGCGTGGAAGTCGCCCTCGCTGGCGGCGCCCTCGCCGAAGTAGCACGCCACCACGCGCGGGTCCTCGTTGGGGTTCTGCAGCGCCTGCATCTTGAGCGCGTACGCCGCGCCCGCCGCGTGCGGGATCTGCGTCGCCAGCGGCGACGAGATGGTGTGCACGCGCAGCGCCGCCGACCCGTAGTGTACCGGCATGTTGCGGCCCAGCCCCGGGTCGTGTCGGTTGGCGAAGAGCTGGTTCATGAAGTCGTCGAGCGTGAAGCCGCGCTGGGCGAGCACGCCCGTCTCACGGTACTGCGCGAAGATGACGTCCTTGGGGTGCAGCGCCGCGGCCGAGCCCACGGCGATGCCCTCCTCGCCCGCTGATACCATGTAGAAGGAGAGGCGCCCTTGCCGCTGCGCTTCGAACATGATCAAGTCCATGATGCTGACCGAGAGCATGTTCTTGTACCACTGAAGGACCTGTTCGTCCGGAATGCTCGAGAGAATGTGGTCTTTGTCCGTGTCCACCACGACGCCATCCTGGTCTAGGATCCGGTACGTAGGCATGGCAGGCTTGTCCGCGGGCTGATCGAAGGACAAGGTCGTGGTGAACTTGCTATTGACGGCGCCAGGAAAGTGTACGCTGCAGTCATAGTTAGTATGAAGGTTTACGATCATCTCTCGATGTAATTGTCGCCACAGGCTCACCGATCTGAGCCCGGTCTCTGGGAGATGGAGCTCCATCTAACCCGGGGGGCTGCCGGGTGTCTTTGCTGCGGCCATGACCGAAGAGAAGACCTGAGCGAAACTTGCGAGAATCTAGCAGTTTTTGAGGCAAAGCCCCTGGAGGCAGTGTGACAGAGAGACATGCTGGAGTGAAGTCATGGTAAACAACGGTGAGTAGGGAGGGAGTGCGGAGGAGGAGTGTGGGGGTGCGGAGAAGGCGCGGTTACCATCGGCCCTGGGGTTATGAGGCTACCCGGCGATCAGCCTCAATCTCAGCCCTACGCAGGGGCCACACCCGCTCGTAGAAAGTCGTTCTCACCTCCAAAGTCGTCTCATCTTATCGACATCTCTCGCCCTAGTCACGATGCGCCCATCCGCCCCCGTTTTTCGCCGCCAATTGCTGCGCGAGCTGCGCGCCAGACCCGTTCGCGAGCCTTATCGCTGCTTTTCGTGCGCTACACGTCTCGCCCAGCAGCAAGCGTCATCGCAGCCCGGTGCTCAAAATGAGAAGACCACCCATTTCGGGTTCGAGACGATCGCCGAGTCGCTGAAGGAGGCCAAGGGTATGCAATTGATTGTAGCCCTGATCTACAGAACCTCACTGAAACCACTCCCCCAGTCCGCGGCGTCTTCTCCTCTGTTGCGAGCTCGTACGACACGATGAACGACCTCATGTCCCTCGGCATCCACCGCCTTTGGAAGGACCACTTCGTACGCAACCTGAACCCCGGCACAAACCCTCTGACCTCGCCCCGCGACGCATCCGCCCCGCAAGGCTGGAACATCCTGGATGTGGCGGGCGGTACCGGCGACATCGCCTTCCGCCACCTCGACCACGCCAGCAACATCAACCACGACCCACACACGCACGTCACCGTCGCCGACATCAACCCCGAAATGCTGGCGGAGGGCAAGAAGCGCGCGCTGGAGACGCCCTACGCGCGCGCCGGCCGCATTGGGTTCGTCGAGGCCAACGCCGAGCACCTCGACATGATCCCAGACAACAGCATCGACCTTTACACCGTCGCCTTCGGCATCCGTAACTTCACCGACAAGGACCGCGCCCTGCGCGAGGCTTTCCGTGTCCTCCGCCCCGGCGGTGTCTTCGCCTGTCTCGAGTTCAGCAAGGTGAACAACTCCCTGTTCAACCAGGTCTACAAGCGGTGGAGTTTCGCCGCCATTCCGCTCATCGGCCAGCTGGTCGCCGGTGATAGGGACAGCTACCAGTACCTTGTCGAGAGCATAGAGCGCTTCCCCAGCCAGGAGGAGTTCAGGGACATGATCAAGGCTGCCGGCTTCGTCGTCCCCGGAAAGGGATACGAGGACCTGACGAACGGCATTGCGGCGATTCACAAGGGCGTCAAGCCAGTGGCGTCGTCGTGAGATGATTTATTGTAGAACGATTGTATTATAGACTTATGGGATTTGGCGATGGGCGTAGTGAAGTGAAAAGCTGGAGGCACACGGAATGGAAATAATGACGTTTAGTCCCTTGCTAATTTCCTCCAAATCTGTTACTCAATCGAAACAGGACGAAGGCCTGTCCGAGAATCTAGAGAACGGGCCACTTCATTCAACAATTCCGGCTCTTCTAGCCTTCCGGCACTACAGTAGAATTGGTTTCGCAGTCATGGTTCGCAAGAATTTACAATCGAATTCCATAGGAAGCCGAAGCTATCGTCTGGACATTTTCATAAGGCTAATAGTATCATCCTCAACTAGCTTAATACCACTGTAGTTCTCTTGATGCTTGAGCAAATACATCGTTAGCGAATCGTTCTATCCCACATAGACATTTGATTCTCAGTAGCTCTTACCAAAAAAATGCGTTACGACGGTTAATTTCGGTGCTGTGAGCTGAGACAGAACATATCCCAGCTCCTCTTTGGTCCGCAGAATAAGATTGAAAAGTGGATGTTGAACTCGTTCGTTCCTCGGTGCAGGGTCCAGTCCAACCACGGTGACGCGAGTAATCCGTACCTAGCACCCCAGACTTCTTTTGTTCGCCGCAGACCTCCGCGCCTTCCCTCACCACAAAAACCATCGCCGCCCAACAAGGTGCGCAAACGACACAGACAGCGACATCCCAGCATCCCCACCCCAGGAACCGTCCACACGCACCCTACTCGCCACAAACGCCTCGCAACCCCAGAAAAAGCCGCCGCCGCACCCCGACCACACCGCACCGAGCAGCTGCGCGCACCAGCTCTCACTCCGCAACCACCACTCCTCCTCCTCCTCCGACCCCAACGCGCCGCCCACCCAACCAACAACCTCCCCCACCCTCCCCACCGCCTTATCCGCCGCCGGCGGCTTCCCCCTCTCCACCATGCAAGGCTTCAACATGGGGCGGTACTACGCGCCATCCACGAGCGCCGCCCCCACCTTCAACAACACGTCATCTTCCCACCCACTCGGGGCGCGCGCGCGCAAGCTGCGCAGCTCAGGCGCGCTCGTGGTGCGCTTCGAGATGCCGTTCGCGGTGTGGTGCGACGGGTGCGGGCCGGCGCCGGCGCTCATCGGGCAGGGGGTGCGGTTCAACGCGGAGAAGCGGCGGGTGGGCGCGCACCACTCGACGCCCGTGTGGGAGTTTGCGATGCGGCACGCGGCGTGCGGGGGCAGCATCGTGGTGCGGACGGACCCGGCGAGGGCGGAGTACGTGGTGGTCAGTGGGGGGAGGAGGAGGGATTATGGGGGTGGGGATAAGGGTGGGAAGAATGGGGGTGAGGAGGCGGAGGGGGAGTATTACGAGGGGTTGTTGGGGGAGGGGGGTGGCGGTGGGAGGGGGGAGATTCTGGCGCCGGAGGAGGTGGCGAGGAGGAAGGGCGATGCGATGGCGGCGCTGGAGGGGCGCAAGGGGGAGAAGGAGAAGAAGGCGTGGGAGGAGAGTCGCGTCGAGGAGCTGAGGCGGATGCGGGAAAAGGACTGGGCGGATCCGTACGCGGCGAACAAGAAGCTGCGCAAGCCGTTTCGGGAGATGCGGAAGGAGCGGGAGAAGGAGGAGGGCGTGAAGGAGGAGCTGCAGGAGCGGTTCGGGCTCGGGCTGGAGATTGTCGACGAGAGAGAGGAGGACCGGAGGAGGGCGAAGCTGATCGACTTTGGCGATGGTGACGCGAGGGACGATGGGGATGTTGACGCTGCCGCCCTGAAGGCTGCATCGAGGCCGCTGTTCGGAGAGGAGGCGCCGAGTAACGCTTTGCCGACACAGAAGACGAAGGGCAAGACGAAGGCTCAGCGGGCCGCCGAGTTGAGCAGGCAGACGCTTCAGCAGAAGCTCAAGGGCAATACCAGAGCCGCAATGGACCCCTTCTCGGCGGAGAAGACTCGCATCGGGCCACCCACCATTGCTGGCATCAAGAGGAAGCGCGCAGTCACTACCGGGGATCTCACAGACAGCGCCAGCCGCGATACAACTCCAGAATCGCCGTTCCGACCAAACAAGGCCCCATCTGAAAGGAAGACTTTGGCATTAGTGGATTATGGCTCGGATGATGAGTGAACCCTCTCTCTTCCCACGTCATGTAACTTGTTGTACGAATGGATGGATTGAGAGGGAACGAGAGAGGCATAGAAGATGGCGTTTTATATACCCCGCGCTCCATCGCGCATGTTTCAATATACAAGCATGACTATAGTGTTCTTCTCTTTCCTTTCCACTAAAAGTTATTGATCTACAGCTTACCGCTCTAATACCTTTTCATCTTGCCTTGAATATTTTACGTCGCGATGCTATTTACATGAATGGTATCTTGGTAAAATGCTGAAAAAAAAAGTAAAATCCCAACCACGTTCATCCAACACCACCTACTATTGCTCAAACAACAAGCCCGCCGCCATCTCCACATTGCCTTCCGTCGCATTCAATGCCGCCACCGCCCTCTGCCTACCGAACCCCAGCTCCACCAACTGCTCAACCGCCTCCGGCCACGGGACCTGCGGCTCCGGGGCCACCGGCACATGCGCCGGCGGCGCGCTCCTCTCAACACCCCTGCCGGCGTCGACGTCCGCCGCGGGCGGCAACGCACGCCTCACCACCCTCCCCACGCGCTTCGCCCACTCCCACGGCCTGCTCTCACGCGGCGCATCGTCGTAGTCGCCGCGGCCGCACGCCCCCTCGGCGCCACCATCCCTCGACCCGGCATTGAAGTACTCCCAGCCCATGACGCCGCCAAAACACCTGGCGTCCGGCCCCGCGCCGCCAGGAAGACGATGATGCTGCGGAAACTTGGCGCGACACACCCTCAGCACGTCCTCGAGCACGCGGCACTCGACGAAGCCGGAGCCGCCGTTGCCGGCATTCGTCAGCACGCCGAGGACGACCTTCTGCGGGGGCCAGCCGGCGGCGACGACGGCCTCCCACAGGCGGGCGTCGCGGGCGTCGCCCCAGCCGTTGTAAAACTGCGCGTTGTACCACGACACGAGCGCGCCGTGGCCGGCCTCGAGCGCGAAGTGGTTGAAGCCGCTGAGGTGCGGCAGGCTCTGCGGGAGCGTCATGGGCGGCGCCGTGGGCAGGCCCGTCGCCGGGTCCGAGGGGACGTACGACGTCGGCGGCAGGCGCATGTCCGGGACGAGGGCGGTGGCGACGGGCGCGAGGGTGGTGAGGAAGGAGGGGCCGAAGTCGGCGCGGAGGCGGGCGAGGAGGCGGAGGAGCGTGGGCAGCGCGATGGCCTCTTCGACGTCGAGGTCGAGGCCGTCGAGGCGCCGTCGCCGGATCAGGTCGCGGAGCGGCGTGTAGTAGGCTTCGAACTGTGGGGTGCCGGGTGGGCGCGCGGATGCGCCCCGTCTCGTCAGCTTTTGAGATACTATATATATATACCTCGTGGTGTTTCGCGGACACGCTGGGATGAACGGTGGAGGGATGGATGGGACCCGACAGACTTACCTCCGCCGCGCTCCCCTGCAGCCGCTGATAACTCCCCTTCGCTGCGCCGCCCAGCATCCCCATCACCTTGACGCCCGCGCCCTGCAGCCAGCCCACCTCCGCCCACAGCGTGTCGAACTTGGGGCTGTCGGGAGGGTCATCGTTCAGCGTGATGTTGCCGGCTCCTTCGTTCAGGTGTATCGCCGCGACGATGACGTGCGTGACGCCCGTGTTGTGCGTGATGAGCGGGAGGAGCGAGACGGGTTCTTGCGGCTGCGGACCCGGCTTGTGGTGCGTCTGCGCGTAGAGGACGAAGCGCGGGAGCGGGTCGTTCGAGGGGTGGAGAAGCTGTTCTTCTTGTTGCTGGTCGGCGAGCGGTTGTTGTTGTTGTTGTGGTGGTGGGGGCGGGGTGGGTGGCATTGAAGGGAATCGGAATGCACGCGGAGTGGAGACAAGACTTGGTGGGTCTTGGGAGAGGGGACGGGGAAGAACAAAGTACAGTGATGTGAGGGAGGTGTTGTGGAATACGTTCGGAAAAGGCGGCTCAGTTGGCGGAGTGGGGTCACGCAAGGCACGGAGGGGCTTGGGCTTGCCGGAGGATCAACGCATGGTGCGGGGCACACCCATGGGACGCCAAGCGACGATGTGGTCTCCGGGTTGCTGGGTACGTGCTAGTACACCGAACATGCAAGGAAGAGGCCTCGACGAGACCCAGGCTTGTGTGACTCGCATGTTAGAGATTGAAACCTATGTGGCCAGGGACAGTGAAACGTCCCGCTTCGTTTTCTTACGCAAATTGTGTCCTAGCTCAAACAAGTGCACCTGTCGAGAGCGAAGATCATGTATTTTACTCTATGAGAAAAACAAAAAAGGCTGGAAAAACAACACGCTTGCTCAGAAAAAGTTTCCAATCACCAGGCTAGGCTGGTGTCCAAGAGCGCTTCATAAAGGCGGCATTACGTAGAAATGTTTCTTCAAGGTCGAATCCAACAGTAACAATAGGGTCGTGAAATCAATGGATCCCCACAGCAATCAAGCCTTCTTCTCGACCGCGCTGGCAGGCTCGCTGGTCGGGGCACTGGCCACGGCCGGGCTCTCTGTTGTCTCACCGCCGGTGATGCCCTGCGTCTGGAGCGGCGAGGGCGTCTTTTCATCCGACGGCGTGGTAGGGGTGGCACTCAGCGTGGTGCTGGCGGCCCTGCTGCCTGCAGGGCTGATGGGCGAGTCGTTGGTGGCCGTCCCGATGCACGAGCGGAGCGTCTCGTACCACTTCTCGGCGTCCGACGGCGTGTGCGCCTTGAAGGCGAACTCGTGCGTCATGGAGAAGGCGTTGCCGACCTTGCCCTTGGACACGTCCTTGCCCTTGACGTTGAACTTGTTGCCGTCAATGGCGCCGATGACGCAGTCGGGCAGGTACAGCGAGATTTCGGGCTCCGGGTCCTTGGCGAAGTCGTCGTCCGTCTTGAACTCGTGCAGGAATTTGGCCGGCGAGACGACGTAATAGTTCGTGTTGTAGCTGCGCAACATCTTGCCGCGACGCTCCAGCGAGCCTGCGATCAGCGGTTGCGTCGCGCGGTGGCCCTGGTTGGGGAAGGAGATGTTGGACACGGCACGCGGCGGGGCATTGGGGTCGATCAGGATGTGAGTGTTGCGCTGGATGAAGCCTGAAATCACCGCCAAGTCAGCGTCCATCCCTCAGTCGCTTGGTGTCGTTCGCTACTCACCCTGCCACTCGTAGTCAAGGGGTATGCACTGCGCGGTGCCCACGATGTCGTTGTACATGGCCTTGGTCTGATCCTGCTGGCCGGTCAAGATCTTCGCCATGGCCTCCAATCCCTGCTGCATCGTCTGGATGACATGGCCCTCGAACTGCGAGAAGTTGCCCTGGACCGCCAGCAGGTCCTGGCGGTTGTTGTTCTCCTCGATGACCTGCTTGTTCAGTCGGTGCATCACCTGGCGCTGCAGCACGTACGGGTCCTCCGACGCCGTCATGCGCCCGCCCTGGGAGTCGAACGCCGCCGCATGCTGCCCCAGCAATTCAATGTGCTTCTGCGTCACGGCGCGCGCCTTGTCCACGACCTTCCCCTGCTTGCCCGCGCCCTTGGTGAGCTCCTTGTTCTTGTTCTTGATCTCGGCGTGCAGGCGCTCGAACGACGGCAGCACCTGGCCCTTCAGCGCCTTGGCCGTTTCGTTGTGTGCATTGGAGATTCCCTGATTACCCGCCGCAGGTCAGCCGATTGTCGTTCCACTTGCTTTGCGCAATGGGTTCCTCTTACCTGGGTGTTCGAGCGGATGTTGTCGAACATGCCGGCCATTCCGCCCAGGTTCTGGTCGAAGTGGTGCGCTTCCCTCAAGGGGTTCGAGACGGTCTGATATTATGTCGTGAGTAACCTGCGCCCGCGCGACCTCTGCGAAAGCCTTGCGCACCTTCAGAACCTTCTCATACTCCTTCGCCTGGTTGAGCTGCAGCTTCTCGGTCGCGGTGATGTACTCCTCGAGGTAACCGCACGCGTGCTTCCATGCCTGGAGGCGCTCCTGGAAGAGCTTCGTCACCTGTTGCAACGCGAAAAGTGGTGTGTTAGCGCGCGCTGTACCTTTTCTCCTATTGTGGTCGCGAGGACTCCGTGTTTGCAGCACGAACCTCGTTGGTGTCTTCATCGCCGATCACGCCCTCCTCGCCCATCGTAGTGGTGGTCGTGCTGCGCGTGGGCAGCGTGCTTTCAGTCGGGCTCGCCATTGTGGTGTCGTGACGTAGTCTAGTAATGCGAGCGGGGTTGGGGAAAAGTCGCGAGGATTCGCAGTGGAAGGGGAGCGGAACGGGGCGCAAATATATGGGTGGGGTGGGGAAATTAGAAGATTTGAGGGTGGTGGTCAATAGTAAAATGGCAGGCCGCTCAAGGGGGTGGTTGTCTTGGCCGAGCCGCCGCGTCAGAGGCGCCCAGGGGTTATGTGCAAATGGGACCACGGCAGCTGAAGGTGGGACATCTGGGCCATTGTGTAAGAGCGGTTGCGTGGGACCGTAGGATGAAGTCACCAGTAGCGCCAGCGCCGAACATCACTTGGCTAGACCCTGAAATGCTTGTGATTTTCATTCCACCGATCCCGCATGCGCCAGTCTGGAGCGGCGGAGATGCTTGGGATCTTTGCAGGGAATCCCAACACGTCATCGTGCAGGGGTCACCTGCTATCGCTCTTTCAAGCCACCACGCCAGACATCGCCGCCTTCCTCTTTGAAGAATCACACACATGATGCAGTCGCGTGCGGGTCCATTAGCCATGTTTCATTAGGAAGATACTAAAAATTTTGCTACTCTGTCGTGCTCAAAACCAAAACGGTATGTATTAGTTTTGTATGTGATTGCCAACGCCGAATCCATGCTGACATGCCGGAGGTGGGTATCGTCCGCGCCAGTCTCCTATCTATAACATCCAAAAGAATAATAATAAAAACATCAAACAACGTCCAAAACCGTCTAGAAGAATTCAAAAGCACATCGGAGTATCAATGGCTAACGTGGGCAGCCTCGGGGCGCAGTGCACGATTAAACGCCGTATTGCGCTCCGTCTCCTCTGTAAGCGTGGCCAAGCTGCCGGTCGGAGATGGAGTCGTCTCCCTGCTTCCACGTAAGTGTGCTTGCCCAGGTCGTGGCGGTTCATGCACAGGACTTGCTGGTCTGCTCGTCGCCACAGCATATGTCGGAAGATCTTCGCTGATCGGTGTGCGCAGCGGGGTGCGTAGCGCTGTGTTGTAACTGGGAATCCGCGCCAGAGCCTCCATGTCGTATGAGATGGTGTCCACTGGCGGGAAGTAACTCGGACTGTCGCGACTGTCGCGAGTGCGGTGCATGCTGTTGTGCGATTGGCGGCCGCTGTTATTTCCGGAATTACTCGATTCGTTGCCCGCCGGGCTAATGGGGGCCGAGCTCTCATAGCCGTTGTGTGGCGTGTTGGTGCCAGAAGAATGCCGCGAGTAGCTGTTGTTCCGCGAGTTCAGACCGCTGTTGTTCTGCGAGATGCTGAGGCGTGTCAGGCGCGAGTGCAGTTGACTGGCAGAGGCGCCCACTCCACCCGCAACAGTAGTGTCCATCGAGGGTAGATCCTCAACAGAGTTTCTCCGGCTCTGCGCGTAGTACGGTGTAACGTAGCCACTCTGGTTAGGAGAGCCGTGCCAACCGCCAGGGGTTCTGAATCCGCTCGGATCAATGTCTCTGTACATCTGATCCAACTGGTGCTCCGCATAAGTGGGGGGTGCAGCCTGAGTGGCCTCGGCGTGCATGGCCGCTTCAACTGCAGAGCCCGAGATAGCAGCCAGGACCTGCTGATCCTCTCCGATCGGGAGATTGGGTGAGATGAACAGAACACAGTTGTTCTTGACAAGAAGCTGTGCCAAAGTCAGCAAAGATGGGTTAAGAAGCAGAGCATACGGAAAGTCCTTACTTGACTGGTGTGACCCTCCGGGTTGTGCAGATTTACGTAGAGCTTGATCTTGTGATCTATTCTGATGAAGTCCGTCTCCACGTTCTGCCTGCACTTCTTCAGAGACTTGGGAAACGGTATTGCCAGCTTGAACTTGAAAGATTCGTCGAACGGGTGGTCGTCGTCCTCGTCGGTCATCCTCTGCTCGGCGTCGGTGGGCATCTCAAACTCGTCCTTTGCAACGATGGCATCCCAGGAGTGCGGGATGTTTCGCTCGCCCTGAATCGCGTTCAGAACGACGTGTTCGTGAAGTTCCATCTTGATCTTTCCGATGGTAACACCCTTCTTCAACGGAATCAACTGGAAGTCCGCGATAGCCTGCGTTCCGTAGATGAAATTCGTTTGCGGAATGGTGATCTTGTAGCACAGCTTGTCGGCCCACACATCTTCGTTGGTCTGGATTCACATGTTAGTGGGGCGGACTCTCGGTGATGTCAGAGGAAAGGGTGGAGACGCCGGTACAGAGACCGGGCCATACCCAGCCACCCCTCCGGATAAGATGTGATTTACCTGTTCCATCGCGGCATCGGACAGGATCTCTGACGCCAGCGTCCGGATAATTCTCAAGTGCTTGTCCGCGTACAGCGTCTTGGCCATCATGCCGCGGTCCATTGTCGCGTGAAGGTTGTAAACAATGTAGCTGCCGGCAAGACCCTCGACGCTCTCCGGCAACGAACCCCTCAGCGTGAACTTGAAGTTCCACTCGTGGACGCCCGGGCCCATGTGATGCACAGTCTTCTTGACGGCGAGATCCGTGGGGTAGATCTGCAGATGCTCCCGGAGAAATTCATCTTTGTAGACGATCTGCTGCGGATTGACGGCGTTCGTGAGCCAGCTGCAACAGGGCCGTCGTTAGCAGGCGGATTCCCCCGTGGTTGGCAGAAGGCGCAGTGGGCGCACTTACGAGACTTTGCGCGTGCCAATAAGAGACAATTTGATAGAGCGGACCGGAATCGAGTCGTGGTTTGTCAGGACCAGCTTTCCGGTAAGAGTGGCGGACTCGGCGTGGTGCGCGTCGCCCTGGAAAACAATGAAAGGCGAGTCCGGTCTGTAGGGAGGCTGTTAGTGATAAGACGGCAGAACAAAAGACAGGCACAACTGAGGAAGGACAAGGCGGCGGGGATCAGGGTAGGGACAAGCCTAGATCACGGCGTAGGCAAGTGAAGTAGGGGAATTGTCGGTTGGAAGCCCCCAGGAATGGAGCCCACGGGGCTCTGAAAGGTTCAACGAGGTTGTGCAAAAATTCGTACCTGATTTCCAGCACCGGCTTGGACTTGCCGCCGCCAAAGACCTTGGGGGTCGCGACCATGGTTGCGGAGGAAAAAGCGCCAGAAGCTGGCGGAGAGTTGGTGGGTCTGGTAGAGGCGAAGCTTGGTGGGCGGTGGCGGAGGCGAGAGACGTGAGCTTGTGCCCTGGTGGTGCACCGCGTGAGAAATAATTAAGTAGGCGTGCAGTCAGAAGTCCGTGAGGCGATCGTCGAAATCATGCGACTGTCTTGATACTGCAGGAGCTCGCTGCAGCTCTGGGTGCAGCAGGCCAGACAGACGCGCCTTCAGTTGGTAGCGGCGATGGGGGGGTGCGTGCAATATGACAGGACAGGCCGTGGTGGGTATGGGAGCTCTCCGAGACAAAGCAGGTATGCCGATAGCGGTCACACACGACCGAGATGCGCGGGTGACGTGATATGTCAGGTCAATCAAGCGGCGGGATCAACGCGCGATGCGCGGGAGGTGCAGACCAGCAGGGCTGGCGCGGCGTGGGACTGCAGGAGGGCGCGTTAGGATGCAGCGGCGCGGGATGCAGTCCCTTCTTCAACGCGGTGGCGGCCACGGGCGTCCCGAAAGCACACGAGAATAAAGTGGCTCCGCGGCGGCGCTTGATTGCGCGGACGGGGCCCCGAGGCCGCTCCTGATCAAAGCAGCGTGGCAGCGCCCAGTCGGCGATAGAGCGATGACGTTTTTGCAGCGAAGCTTGGGAGAAAAACTTATCTCCCGCCACAGCGAGCGGCATCCAGCCGCCTGTGCTGCCCGGCCGGAGCGCAAGATAGGCTGGAAATGGCGCCGACAATTCGCGAAGCCTCCGCCGGACCCGCTTGCGGCAAGCTCAGGGTGCCTGCGCGCGCGGAAAAGGGCTCACTCATGTGAAGGCACAAAGGGCTGTGCGTCCTCCCTATTGCGGCTCCAGACCACCCAAGGCGGAGCCCAGCACGGGCACTGCCGCGCTGGCACGCTCCCGGCGTCGAACGCCTGCACATGCGCGTCGCCCATCGCCATTCTGCTCGTAATAATATCGCGCATGCAGGTGAAGCGAAACGTTTCACACTGTTTTTTCTGCGAGTTGAGCCCTGCCACGCCTGCCCACGACCGCCCACGACCGCCCACGACCATTCCCGCGCTCGGCTGCCGCGCCGGACGTGTCGAACCATCGAATGACACTGACGAAAGTATCATGCCCTCGCTGCGCCCGCGACGCCCGCACGCCCTGCATCCGTCCGCCTCGGGCAGAGATCTCCTATATACACTCGAAACCGCAGTCGACGCCGGCTGACCTGCCCGCTTCCGCCGCCGCGCTGTCGGCGTCGCGCCGGGCCATGTGTCACGATGCCACGATGCCAGCCCGCCGGCCTCCTACGTGCTGCCTGTCGTCGACGGCGCCGTCTCGCTTCCTTCGGCGCCCTCCTTGGGCCGGTCCCACGTGCGTATATGCCCTGGATATCCATGGCTGGTCAGCATCTAGATCTGCACTCGGAAGCGCAGCCGCTACGGCTGTGGCGGGTTCCTGCACGCAAGTGGGCCGTATCGGCCCAATGCCGCTGCGCAGGCCCGGCCGGCAGATAAGCGCGAAGAAATCTTTGTCTCACCGTTCTCGCAAGAGGTCAGAATGCAATCTTCCTCGAACCCAAGCCAGCAAAGTGGGTGCTCGTCAACAGATTTTGCCTGCTCACACCGGTCGCGTTAGCCCCGGCTGTTCTGATGGATGCTGCCGGCCCGTTCGCTAGGCCCGGCGCGAATGCCCTGCTCACCATCACCGGCGGTAACATGGCCGTTCGGGCCCGAGGCTCGACAGGGTGCACAACCTGCTCGCCGCCGTCTGCGCTGCCCGTCGTGAGATTCGAGTCCGATCGCAGCCGAGTCGTCGAGCTGTCCGCCCGGGTTCGCGGCTGCGGGAGATGCGACGAGATGCTGCCTCTTGCGCGGACCGATGCCTGTCACTCGCAGCACCCTGTTAGCAAAGCCTCCACCGAAATCTGTCGCGAATATGTGGATCTACACGGGGCCCTACCGCTCGCGGCCTGTGCAGCATCCCAACGCTGAAGTCCCACAGCAGAAGCCTGCAGTCCTCGCCCACGCTGCCAAATCGGTAGTTGCGATCGTCGCACCGCCACGGGTCGAAGGCTACACCCGAGACCCACGAGTTGTGACCTTGGCACCGTGCGACGAGCATGCTGTCTTCCAGCGACCAGATGGACACGAGGTCATCCTGCCCGCCAGTCACCACATATCTCCCGTCCGGCGACCAGCATACGCAGATCAGCCCCCCGTAGTAGCTGCTGAAAACGTCGAGGAGCCTGCGAGCACATTAGCCGGTGCGGGACCCACGCAGGGGCCGAGTCTACCTACTGCTCCTTCAAATAATCGATGATGCGTAGCGAGCCGTCCTCCGACACGATCGCCAGATGCCTGTTGTCTGGCGAAAATGCAAACGCGTTGATCTTGGTGCTCGAGACCTTCCAGACCGCGACCGGGTTGCTTTTCTGGTTCCTTGATTGGACCGACTTCTTGATATGCAGTGACGTGCTCTCATCCTTGTCGCTCGCCGGCTTATCATTTGGCAGGTTCGTCTCCTCGGAAACGAATGGAGCATCCTCCTTCTCCTTGTCGTATACCACCAACGTCCCATCCATGTGGGCCGCAAGAAACAGATTATCAGAATTTGGCAGCCAGCGGATCTCCGAAACCGCGCTTCCATTTATAACTCCCTACAGAGAGTCAGTCATCATCCTTTTTCTTTGTCTTTTATTTTGGGAAGCCTCCTCTCTGGACTTTCACATGCCGCTGGAAATCATGCTCCGTTGGACATGCAAAGACGCGTGGCATCTGGCAGAGCGGGCGCAAGTCGGTCTTGCAAGTGAACCACTCATCCCTTATCAAGAGAGTCTCACTCCCGCTGACTTCCGCTCTTCCGCCGAACCGCTCTTTTGCGGTGTCCACGAAAGCAGCCGGCCAATGGTCGCGAGAGGAGGCCACGACGTGCAGTAGTTCTTACGTTCTTGTTGATGCGGGCGTATTTCTGCGACATTGGCTCGTACCATATTATGTCGCCCGTCGAGAAGCCCAGGACGATATCGATATGGTTGCTGAGTTTGGTGACCTTATTTACGTCATGACACAATGCATGTGCTTTCGTGAACAGGATCTTGGTCAAATGCTCATCCTGCAGCAGTGTGAGCCTTCCACAAAATGGCGACCGTACCGTCCTCGACCAACCTTGGTAGTAGCAGAAAGATCCAGCCACTGGAGCGCTCTGTTCACATTCGCGAATGCCATTAACCCGTCTGCAGCCCTCTCCTGTAAGCGCTTTTGCAGAGCCTCGTGTGGAATAACTCTTGATACAAATGACGAATTGCTTTTAATTATATTGTTCTTCGGTTTCCGCCGCTTCAACGGATCCTTGGATTCCTTGCCGTTTGGAATGAGGAGAGATGGGTTTCCCTCCCCAAAGGAAGGGACCGAGCCGAAACCATTGCTTCTAGTATATGGCGAGCTGAAGTCACTGCCAGCACTGTGCGATTCTTGGGGGTTCTCTGCGATGCTTGGGGGCATTCCAGACAGGGCGCTGGCGGTGGTGTCGGAGCGTTGCAACCGGGGAAATTGGCTCGGCCGCGGGGAAAGTATTGTTAGGCAAAGCTTGGTCCCTGCGGAAGGGGGCGAGGGCGTGGTCGCCAGCGGGTTGGGGTTATGGACGGGCGCTTCGGAGGGATGCGGAGGAGGGGTCGCCAGGTGAAGGCTGTCTTTCAAGACGTAGGTACCTGGCATGGTAAAACGATGAGGACGCAGCAGAGCGCATGAGACGGGAAACTGGCATTACCTTCGCCAACCACAAGTTGATGTTCAGGCCCCGTAGGGTGACTGAGCACGTTGTTCGTCTCGATGACTGGCTGTCCTGGCATCCCCAGGCCATACTGGCTGCTGGGGAAGCGCGGGGGAGGGGGCAGCACGAACATGTCGCCCTGTTCTGCACAAGTCCTCCCTTATCGGATGATGCCCAGCGCCAATGGGAGGGTTGCGATCTGCTGCGGTGACTCTGCGACGCTCACACGTCCAGCAACGTGCAAAAGCTTGGGAGGGTTGGTGGCGCGCGGCGCGGAGCGGAGCGGTGGTCGCGGGAGGTAGGGCTCGCGCATATGAATCAGGACGGACGGGCGGCGATGATGTAGGAACACGATCTCGGCGGGTGGGAGTGTGGGGAGGCGTACTACGCACGCGCCGCGTCCGGCCGTCAGCTGGAGGGAGCGGCTAAATGCGAAAAGCGAGAGGCGTCTCCGTAGACATGTCGCAGCGACAAGAGAGGCGCTGTGGGGGATGAAGAAAGCTTGCGCGAGAACAGCGGCCGGTGGTTCTAAGCGCGCGCAATCACCGCGGAGCTCGGTACTGGAAGCAATGCTACAGTAGGCTCCCAAGTCGCTTGGCCCCAGTCGCGGCCCTGGCATTGGAGTTGATGGCAGACCGGGGCCCACCACGGTTGCCGATGAGAGGGTCCGTGCCACATTACGAAGAACCACTTACTAAGCGTAATCTTCTCGCGGAGAGCGACTTTTCGTTGCGCTGTGAGCGTTTCTTCTTAATGTAGCATTCTGTTTACGCAGATAGCCGAATGCGGATATGGACATATCTATCCTCATTTCTGGGCTACATCTCCGTCCCGACGTGACTAGATTTAATTGTATATGTAGAGTGCAGTCTCGCTACAAGATAGACGTGAGCAGACTTGATTCTCTCATTGTGTTGCTACACAATAATAGATAGCACGAGCATCTTCTTCTCACAAGCGTGTTCTTCAGCGAATTATGGCATGGGTAAGAAGTAGTAAAGTTTATTCAACGGTCGTGGCCGTTTCCGCCAACCAACGGTACCCACCCGCTCGGTACGCTAAAATTTATGGGGAACCGAGCTGCGTCAGGCTCCGCGAAGCTCCAGCACCGCGCAACGCGGCGCGGCTCGCCGATAGCTTCTTCCCCAACAATGCGCCCGCAGCATGACAACCGTTCGCATTTGTGTTTGCGGTGACGAGGGCACTGGTATGCATATCCCGCCCTCCTACGCAGCCATCCGCGGCTTGCTGACTACAAACCTTAGGGAAGAGCTCGCTCATCACCTCCCTCGTCAAGGACGTCTTCGTCCCGAAGATCCAGAGCGTCCTGCCGCCGGTGACGCTGCCTCCCACGCTGGGCACCCCGGAGAATGTTACCACTACCGTCGTCGATACCTCTGCCCTGCCGCAGGATCGCGACAAGCTGCGCAAGGAGCTCCGCAAGTCCAACGCCATCCTCCTCGTCTACTCCGACCACTATAGCTATGAGCGCGTTGCGCTCTTTTGGATGCCCTACTTCCGCTCGCTCGGCGTGAACGTGCCGGTAGTCCTCTGTGCCAATAAGTCTGATCTGCAGACAAATGGAAGTACCTCGCAGGTGGTGGCTGATGAGATGCTGCCGGTGATGAACGAATTCAAGGAGATCGATTCATGCATCCGTACGAGCGCCAAAGAGCACCACAACATAAATGAGGTCTTCTTCCTCTGTCAAAAGGCAGTCACGCACCCGATTGCTCCTCTGTACGATTCTAAGGAAGCGAACCTCAAGCCAGCTGCGGTGGCAGCTCTGCGGCGGATATTCTATCTTTGTGACAGGGATCAGGATGGCGTTCTCAATGACACAGAGATGCACGCGTTCCAGTTGAAGTGCTTCGAAAAGCCGTTGTCTGAAGACGACCTCATGAACATCAAACGGTCAATCCAAAAACTAGCTCCGGAATCTGCCATTGAGAAGGGCATCAACGAGAAAGGCTTCTTGCTGCTGCATAAGATCTTTGCTGAGAAAGGGCGTCACGAAACAATCTGGATCATCTTGCGCAAATATCAGTATACTGACAGTCTAAGCCTCAAAGACACCTTTCTGCACCCCAAGTTCGATGTTCCCCAGTACTCTTCTGCGGAGCTGAGCCCCGCCGGCTACCGCTTCTTCGTCGACCTCTTCCTCCTCCACGACAAGGACAACGATGGCGGGCTCAACGATGCCGAATTAGCGACCTTGTTTCTGCCTACGCCTGGGCCACCTCCGTCCTGGGTGGATTCAGCCTTCCCGTCATGTACAGTACGCAATGAAGCGGGGTACATCACACTTCAAGGCTGGCTTGCACAGTGGAGTATGACGACTTTTGAGGAGCCAAAAACCACCCTTGAGTATCTTGCCTACCTTGGGTTCGAGAGCTCGGACCGTGGCGGCACTACTGCCGCACTCAAGGCTACGAAGGCACGCAAGAGGCGCAACCGTCCTGGCCGAGTTGAGCGGAACGTGGTGCTCTGTTACGTCCTCGGTGCAAGCGGCAGCGGTAAGAGCTCGCTGCTCAACGCGTTTCTCAGCAGGCCGTTCAGCCCAATGCACTACCCTACAATCAAGCCGCACTCGGCGGTGAATAGCGTCGAGCTTCAGGGAGGAAAGCAGTGCTACTTGATTCTGGAAGAGCTTGGGGAACTCGAGCCTGCGATCTTGGAGAACAAGGCCAAACTCGATGCGTGCGATCTCCTCTGCTACACGTACGATTCAAGCGATCCAGATAGCTTCGACTACATCGTGCAGCTCCGAAAGAAATACCCACACCTTGACTCTCTGCCGGCCGTGTACACGGCGCTGAAAGCCGACCAAGACAAGGCAATGCAGCGGACTGAGATGCAACCGGACGAGCACACCAGTGCGCTAAACATGGCAGCACCGCTCCACGTCTCGGTGACGTGGAACACGATCTCCGAATTCTTCGTACACGTGAGTACCATCCTCCTATTTGTGCCAAGTCCAGAGTGAAACAGATCGCTGAAACACCAAAACGCCCAGCTTGCTGAGTGCGCTACGCATCCATCTACCGCATTTCCCAAGTCAGACGAGGAGCCGGTGGACAACACCAGTTTGTATCTCGCCCTGGGGGCAACGGTCTGCGCCGCGGCCGCGTTCGTGTTCATTTGGAGGAAGAACTCGACGGTCGCTTGAAGTAAAACGAAGACAATGCGAGGTACGGTGTTCCTGTGGACCTTTTTTCTGGCTGCGATGCTCTTAGGGTGCAGAGCTCGGACGGCGCATGACGACTTGCATCCCCCTGTCATTTTACGGCTCACAGAACTCTCCTCTTTTCTGAAGCGGCTCGTCCGACGGGGAGCTGCGTGCTATAAATAAAAATCTTTAAACGGGCATGCGGTACACAAGTAATCTTAGGATTTCAGCCGTGGATGGTGATATTCCGCATAGGCGAGGGAGCTTCCAATGACGCGCGCCGGCTGGTGCGCCAGCAACGCGGCGGCTGCGCGCGGAACAATCCGGCTATTCCAGAAGGACGTCAGTGCAGAAGGGGGCTTGACGCCAGCCCGTTGGGAGGCGGAGGCCGGGCACGCATCGTCACGCCGGGAGGCGCGTGGCCGTTTTGGAGTCTGTCTGGAGCGGCTCGAGCAGGGCGCCTGACAGCGGTGGTGATAAGGTTGGAGTGCGTCGGATCGGTCCCGCTCGCCAGCCGCGCTCTGCGCCTAGGTCTGCCAGGTGCCTGCGGCGGGCGCGTGGTTTTGCTGCAGGTCTGAGCAGCGGCGGGCGAGGCGATCAGGCTGCAAATTGCAGGCGGCCGCTCTCCTCAGCTCAGGGTTATGCGGGGAGCGCGCCTGTGGGGGCGCTGATCCAATAACGCATCTGGGCGGGCGGCGACAGCTCTGCGAATCAAGCGCTAGCGGCTGTCTCGCAGCCACACTGCGCGGTGGCCGTGGGATAGCGAGGCGCCCGGAGGGGGGCGCAAGACGGGGTGCTGTGAGGCCGTCGTCAGTCTCGGTGCTGTCGGGCATGAGAGAATAAGCGATGGTGGTCACTAGCGACGCGCCAGCGTGGGCATCGGGCCTGAGCTGTCACCCCCGAACCGCCCGATCTAAAGTCTCGCAGGGACTCTGTTGTAAGCACCGCCGCCTGTTGTTCGCAGCAGCCCGAGCAGAGCCACGCCCCCGAGCTGCTCGCACTGCACCGCACCGGATCATGCCCAGCAGCCTGAGCTCCTGCCGCCCGCTCGATCCACGAACACCGCCCGCGCGTCCCACCGCCGCCCCCTGTGAACCTGTTGTCGCCGAGGCTCGTTGCGACGAGGATCTGCATTCCTCGAGCAGCTATGCAGGTTGGTCCTCCCGCTGCCCGTTGCCCGCGCTCCCAATGCAGGACCCAGATTACACAGCAGCAACACCACGCCTCCGCCCCGACCCCAACCGCGCTGGGCCGCCACATCCTCCTCCCGCCGCTCCCTGCCCTCGCGAACGTATGCTAACCGCTCCGCACCACAACCCTCAGACGTCCGAGACCCCGGGCTCCCACAGAGCGCTGGAACTGGAGCGCTTGTACGAGGCTCGTCGAGGCCATGCTCCGCAAATCTCCATCAGCGACGACAGCCACCACATCACCGAAGCCATTGGAGACATGTACGGCGAGAATGAATACAGCCGGAGCGAGTCACGGCCCTTGAGCTTCATCAGCTCGCCCACCAGCGAGACTTTTGACCTGAGTCCCTCCTTTCCCGCCTCGCCCAACTCGCTCGAACGCTCCTCCTCCAACGAGCACAAGCACCACGCAAATGGCCAGCCCGCCTCGCCCAACATGCTCTCGCCCCGCAGCGACTCCTTCGACCGCTCCTCCGTCTCTCCCCCACGCCTGAACCGCCAGAGCTCCGACACCGCCAGCCAGGCATTCGAGTTCCAGGACATCGACTCGCAGTCCACCCCGGCCGCCGTGGCCCAGGAGCTGAGCAACCTACAAGCAATCAGGCGCATGTCCATGGATGTGCATGGCTCTGATCCCGATCTGCCCTCGTTCGGCGACAGGCCGCCAATGCCCGCTGCGGCGCCCGCACACGAAGCCGACGAAGACGATCCCTCGCGCATGTTCTGGGTCCCGGCCAGAGTACACCCGGAATTGGCTCCGAAAGAGTTCAGGACGTTCATCGAGGAGAAGGTCCAAAAACACCGACGGAGATCAGGGGATTCGGATTCCATGCTCTCGGCGGATGGGCTGAGCCCGGAAGGGTCCAGTGGAGGGTTACGGAGGAAGAAGTCGATGTTGTCCAAGCAGGTTGACGGACCCCACGGTTACCGAGATGGTGCTGAGCGCTTGGAAAGAAAGAGGTCGCAGGCTAGCGACCACGCTCACATGCCCACTCTGCACCAACTCGAGGCTGTGGAAGAGGATGATCCCGCACAATTGATACGGCGCATGAGTCTGCGCGACTCGATGGATTCTGGTGTCGCTGGCGTCGAGAGCGCCGGGGAAGACGACGTTCCCATACTTCCTGTCAAGCCTACCGGCATCTTGAAGCGATCCACGCGCACGAATTACAGACGTGGCAGTATACGCAAAGGAGAAAGGGTTCCTTTCAGCCGTAGGATGGGAAAACAGGGCGACACTGACACTGATGAGTCCCCTGTCTCGTCACCCATCGCTCAGGAACCAGAAGTGAAAAGGGGAATTCAGAGAGTCCAGACGGAACCAATGCCTTCGAAAGCTGATCAGCCAGAGAACTTCTCACGCCCCACACGGCTACGCTCCCAGGCTCAAGGCCCCAATGCACCGCAGACTGAACCTTCACGGCCCCGATCCGCGGAAGAACGGCCAGCTAGCCCTCCCGAGCAACACGGTCAGACCTCGCCTCCGCAACAGGATGGACAGCGAAGATACCACTCCCGCATTGCATCCAACGGCCGTACGACCGCACTCCTTCCCGGTTATAATGTTCCCATCGACTCACCTGTCCTCTCTTCCACAGCAGCCCCGGTTCCCCAGATCGTCGAGACACCTCCCGCGCCGGCCGACGTTCCGCCTCCTATACCAGCACAACACCCGGAGCGCAAGTCTTCGAAAGTGCAAGTTGACCACTCGGCATCACAGAATCACGCGCCCGTCAAAATGCCTCCGCAGCCAGTCAGAGGCCTTCCTCCAGGACGACAAAGCTTGCGGGAGAAGGCTGAGAAAGCGCAAGCCAACAAAATTCCAAGTCAGTCTCTTGATGAAATGGCATCACACCCCACAGCTATCCCTGGCCACACTAGCGCGACAAGATCCGACTCACTTGCAATTATTCCAACATTCGCAGATGAATCGAAATCGGACAAGGGCGACAAGAAGTCCAGGAACGCTGCCGCCGCCGCCGACGACGATGATGAGGAATCTGGCGGCAGGAAGACCAGCTGGGGTTGGTTTTCGCGTAAGAACAAGGAAAAGGAAGAGGAAGAAGAGCGCGAAAAGAAGACCAAGGATGAGAAGGAGCACAAGAAGACCAAGTCAAAGCTTACCAAATCCGCTGACAAGTCACACGACAAGCACGACAAGCACGAGAAGCGCGACAATGCCCGTTTGGACGTGTTGCAGGCTTCAATCGATGATGGACGTGGAAGGGAAAGCCTTGTTCTCGACCGCAACAACATCAAGCTTGACGAAGAGCGCCAAAAGACGAGTAGCCGGAAGACTTCGAGCGAAAAGAAGGAGAAGGAGGGCCTCTTCTCGTCCATCTTCGGTGGAAAAGCAAAGAAGGGAGAAAAGGAGGCTCACGGAAGCAGCAAGAAAGCAATCTCAGCACGTGGCCTATCCCCCGACCCCCCGCAGCGCGTGCTGCGGCCAGACATTGACTACAACTGGACCCGATTCTCCATCCTTGAGGAGCGTGCCATTTACCGGATGGCGCATATCAAGCTCGCCAATCCTCGCCGAGAGCTTTATTCCCAGGTATTACTCAGCAACTTCATGTACTCATATCTCGCCAAGGTCCAGCAGATGCACCCGCACATTCAAATCGGCCAGTCGGCGGCTCAGAAACAGCAACAACGACTGGCTCAGGAGCAAAAGAAGAGAGAGGAAGAACAGCGTCGTCAGCAACAGCAACAACAGCCGGAAGAGTTCAAACAGTACCAGATGTACCAGGATGTGAGTAACAGCATGAAGATTGAGCGAGGATAGGTTATTGACGCAGTGAACAGCAACAAGCACGAGTGGAGGCCAAAGAGGGAACGTCTGAAGGTACGGCATATCAACATGGAGACAATCAGTACCTCAACGACCCCTCACACGCATCACAACATACACAGTACAATAGAACGAACGGCAACGGATACAGTGTTTCGAGCGGGTCCAGTTACCTCGGCCAACCCGGAGCACAGCCACAACAAGCGTACTATGAACCACAGTACGAAGATGACGACGGCCGCAGTGAGATGTGGTAGGAGAAGCATGAGCATTGACCGTTTAACACGAGCGTCGACAGTGATGCTACAGGTTGCGGGCTGGCGTTCTGGGAAATGGACCATGACAGCGAGAATTATTCTGTTGTTGATGATGTTGTGTGCAATGCATAGCGATCGGGATCGCCCCTCGCCGCCACAGGGCTGGGGGACGAGAGGAGCTACGGGCCCTTGGTTTCTTGTTGCTGCTGCTTTCATCTTTCCAGTCGCTATCTCGCTCGCTGCTTTCCTCGTCGTTCTTGTCCTGCTCTGCCCCCGCTCGAAACCGACCCTCTATCGTGGCGTCTGCTCCCCTCCTCGACCCCTCCGTACGAGATCCTCGCCGCCTTTCCGTCATGGGGGTTTATCTATTGTCAAGCGGAGCAGACTTCTTGGTCTTTGCGTCCCCAAACGCACTCTGGTTGGTGAAGCGTATTGCTGAATCTGTACGATAGCCTGTGCTCTTTTTTCTCTTTCTCCTTTTTTTTTCGTCGCGCTCTTTTTGCTTGTCGCATGGTGCTAAAAATGATATTAGGGGAAGCCTCGGTCGGCCGAAGCTGTGAAATAAGTCTGCATTTTCTCTTCTTCCACTCTTTACTCCATTTTACGCGGTCTTTTACGTCTTTATCTCCTCCTGCACACTTCCAGTGGTTATTTTGACGAAGCGGGCGAAGGATTCAGTTGTTTCAGGCATGATGATGGATGGCTTTTCAGGATCATGGGAAACATTAGCGGGTGTTTGATAGAGTGTCAGAGAGATTGGAGCATAGGTCGTGCGTTAAGTGCCTTGTACGTTTCTCCGCTTGATCTGACTGTTGCGATGGGCAAAGACCTAGGATGAAGCAATGGTAATGTGTTCAAACAATTTTTTTCATTTTCTTTCGGGCACGAAGGCATTATTGGACACTGGTTCGCTTGCGTCAGGCATGGCAGCTGGGGCGGAAGATTGCGGCCGCAAGGTTGGCAGATTTGAGAAGGAACAAGATTGACTTGGAGTCGGACGACTCCATCACATGGGCTGTGGAAACGTCATGATGAGGTTTGTTTCCTTCTTGCTGCGGTATGAAAATACTATCCGCGCTTGCATCGGAGGAAAGTACTTCATTACGTAGCTGTGTAACTGCTATATGCACCGAATCGGAACAATTGCACCATCATGACCTTAGCTTACAATCCCTCTCCGTGGTTGCATCAAAACTGCTTTTCTCTCTACAAAAGTACAGTTGATGGTGGAGGTGCTTTCTCCTTTGGCGAAATTAGCGAGCGCGCCGGATATATACCAGCGATCTATCTTATCTCACGTCATCATCCTCATTTTCTTGTGCCTACGAGTCCCTCATTCCCCACCTCACGTGTAACGTACAGGGAAGCAAACGCTCTGCTTACATATATTTTCCCCCGTCATCTTCCTCTCTCTATCTCTCTCTCTCTCTCTCCCTCAACAAAAAAACCCCTCACAGACCTTACCCCTCGACGTCGCAAGAACGCGCGCGCTCTTCATAGCAGGAAAAAAAAATTAAAAAGAGCAGTAACAATCCACCAAATACCCAACGTTCGTCTCACCACCATGTCCGTCGTCGACCCCGCACTGGCGCACCCCGTCCGCCCCGCCTTCGCCATCCCCGGCGAGGCCATCAAGGCGGGCGGAACCCCCGAGCCGGGCGCCGTCGTGCCGCAGGAGCCGGCCGGGTCGCGCGCCGTCATCGCGGCGCTGAAGATGATGAAGCATCCGGAGGTGGGTTGGATATATGTCGCTTGTCTTCTTTTTGGTTTCTCTCTTTCTTTTTTTTTTTTTTGCTTGCGGCCGAGTTTGGGTTCCTTCGCGTTGCTTTTTTTTTCTAGTTTGTTTGGGGTGAAGCGTGGGTCCGCGTCTTGTTATTGCTTTTTTTTTTTGAAGGCAATGCTACGGCCGGGTCGTGGGACGGTGAGAGAAGGTTGGGTGGGTGAGAAAAGAGGAGGGATGGATAGCCAGATCGATCTCTCTGTCTCACTCTTTTTTGTTCTTCCCTCCTTTCAAACACACAAACCTTCCCTCTCCCCGGAGACGATCACCTCTGCCACACACCCTACATTACTCTATCTCTCCCTCTATCCCTCCCTCTCCCTCCCTCACACATACCCTTCACCTCTACACACGTGGCATAACACAAAAAAAAACAGGGCGGCTACTTCGTCGAAACGGACCGCGACCCCCGGCGCGTGGTGAACCCGTTCCACCCGTCGTACGACAGCGGCATGACCGAGGTGTCGACCAAGACGTGCTTCGCCGAGACGTCGGCGGCGGAATCGGATGCGAAAGGTGACCAGGCGCAGCAGTGGACGGCGTTGACGCGGTCCGCCAGCACGTCCATTTATTACCTCCTCACGCCGGGCCGCAGCTTTGGCCGGTTTCATCGGAATAAGGGACGGTGAGCTTTTTTGTCTTTTTTTTGGGGGCTTGGTCTTTGTCTTGGGTTCTTGGGTGTGTGTGTGTGGATTGAGGGGGGAGAGAGGAAGAGGAAGAGTGTGTGGTGTTTGCTAACGTGGAAGCGGAACCAGGACGGTGCACACGCTGCACAAGGGCAGGGCGAGGTACGTCGTCATCCACGCGGACGAAGTGGTCAACGGGCTCCGGCCCAAGGGCGAGGCGCGCATCGAGACGTACGTCGTCGGCCAGGACGTTGCGGCGGACGAGCGGCTGCAGTGGGTCGTCGAAGGCGGCAAGTACAAGGCGAGTTTCTTGCTGCCGGACGACGAGGCCGAGGGCGCGAGCGCGGGCGCCGCCCAGGCCACTAGCAAAGATGGGTGCTTGATTAGTGAGGTAAGTCGAGTCATTTTGTTGTTGTTGGTGTCTCTGTTGTCTCTTTGGTGGAAGAGATGGGAACGTTTGGCTGACTTGTTATGACAGACGGTCATCCCGGGCTTTGAGTATGCGGACCATGACTTCTTGAAGCCGGATCGCTTGGTGGAGCTTGTGGGTGAGGAACGGGCGGCGGAGCTCGCTTGGTTACTGACCAAGAGTGCGGAGTGAGGGTAGACGAATATGGAGTACGGAAAGGCATCTCAACTCAGAACAATTGGGTCATCGTCCAGACACGATCTGAACTGGTTTGTCTTGCATGGTAGTACCGAGCTACGTATTTGTGGCACGCATTGTTTATGCCTTCGAATTTTTGTTCCAGAGACATGACTATCTAACCTGTACGCCGTGTCAAACGAAAGGAAAGGCGGTAAACACCGGAAGACGTGTGTAACTGACGACGGTGCATTAGGTTCTTCGCTTGACTTTTGGTCGTTTCAACACATGGGTCTTGGGCCAAATTGGGCGTTTATATCAGCAAGGGTCTTGACGGCTGAATTTCGATAAATAAGGTTCCGCCGGGAAAAAGACGAGGGCAACCATGATCATCTGGAAGTCGGCTTATTAGCGTGCAGCGTGCGGGATGCAGGCGTGGAAGATCGACAAAAGGTTGCAGCGACCGGGCCAACGAGATTGCTGCGCGGAATATTGGAACAGCAGTGTCATGGGGCCACAGCTGCTGATGAGATAAGCTTTCGGGCGGGCATGTGGCGTGGGCGGCAGTGGCTCCATGCCGTGTCAAGCGTCCGGGGTGGCCATGCGGCAACGCTAGAGCAATTGGGAAGAGAGGGGTACACATCCATGTGGGAGCCGGCCCACGCGAAATTGCACCTTCCTGACCTCCCTCCCACCGCCCTTCTCCGATTGAGTGCTTCCAGGCTCAACACGCCGCGGCAACGGCCGGAGATGAAGACTGACAATGCGCCGACGAGTACAGGCCTTGACCCGGCTCGAAGGTGTAGATTGGTGCCGACTGCAAGGTATACGCTGAGCCGCCTGGACATGCACCGGGCCCCATGCCATGCAGCGTCTGTGCTCCATGCGGGTGCATTTAAACTGACCGTCTTTCCCCGGGCCTGGTGATGATATTTAGCTGACCCGCCTCTCTCACGTCGTCAGGCAAGCCCGTTGACCCGGGGCACTGAGAAGCACCGCTCTCTCGTTCATGCTTCCCACCATGCGTCTCAAGCACATCTTCGCTCTTTCGCTAGCCTACCTCAGTACCGCCCCCGTGCGCGCCCAGGACGATGCTCTCCAGTACGTTGACCAGTTGATTGGGAGCAGCAACGGAGGTATGTTTGAGTATGCTGGAAAATAATAAGCCCATTAACGATGCTCAGGAAATGTGTTCCCGGGTGCAACTCGTCCCTTTGGCATGGTAGGTCTTCCTTTGGCAGACGTCTGCGGAGAAGGCGCTGTCATTGGCGCGCCACCTACTTTCGCCTAATGCTGAGCAACCCCCAAGGCCAAAGCAGTGGCCGACACGGACTCGGAGAGTAACCAGGGCGGTTTCACCACCGACGGAGCCAACATCACTGGCTTCTCCCAGATGCACGATTCCGGAACCGGAGGGAGCCCTTCGCTCGGCTTGTTTGCTCTCTTCCCGTACACCAGCTGCCCAGGCGACGACATCGATAACTGTGTGTTCCCAAAAAAGGCCAGGAGGACCCAGTTCGCCAACGATTCGGTGAAAGCCAGTCCCGGATACTTTTCCGTAACCCTGGACAGTGGTATCCAAGTCGAGATGACTGCTGCAGCACACACGAACCTGTTCCGCTTCAGCTTTCCTTCTTCTGGCCCCGACGGTGGCGCTCCAAGCCCGCTGATTCTTATGGATTTGACCGATCTCTCAGACTCGCGCCAGGACAATGGGACCATCACCGTCGACGCCGACACGGGCAGGATGAAGGGAAACGCCCGGTTTCTCCCCAGCTTCGGACAAGGCAACTACGTCGCGTACTTCTGTGCCGATTTCCAGGGGGCCAATGTGCGTGACAACGGGATTTTTGTGAACAGCAGGGCCAGCACATCGGTCAAGAACCTGACCATATCCCGGTCCATCAACGGATATCCCCTCCCGGGAGGTGGCTTCATCCGCTTCGACGATCCCGGAGAGCAGGCAGTGCTGGCGCGGGTGGGCGTCAGCTTAATCAGCGAGGAGCAGGCCTGCAGCAATGCCGAGTCGGAGATGGCCGACTTTGACTTCCAAGGCACCCAGGACGGAGCGGTCGAGGAGTGGAGGCAGAAGCTCAGCCCGGTCCAGGTCAACCCCAACGGCGTCGACCGGGACCTGCTCGTCAACTTCTACAGCGGCATCTACCGCGTCTTTGTCAACCCTCAGGACTACACGGGCGAGAACCCGCTGTGGACGAGCGACGAGCCGTATTTCGACTCGCTCTATTGCATCTGGGATCTGTTCCGCTCGCAGCTGCCGTTCCTGACCATCGTGGATCCTGAGCAGGTCACCCGCATCGTGCGCTCTTTGATCGACACGTACCGCCACGTTGGCTGGCTTCCTGACTGCCGGTGAGTCCAATCCAGGGGGTGCGTGCGGGGCGGGTTCGAGCTGACACGGTGCAGGATGAGTCTGAACAAGGGCTACACCCAGGGCGGCTCCAACGCGGACGTGGTCCTCACCGACGCCTACCTCAAGGGGCTGCGCGACGGCATCGACTGGGACGACGCGTATGCAGCCGTGGTGAAGGACGCAGAAGACGAGCCGTACGACTGGTGCTGCCAGGGCCGCGGCGGGCTCGACAGCTGGAAGACGCTGGGCTACATCCCCGTGCAGGACTTCGACTACAAGGGCTTCGGCACCATGACGCGCAGCATCTCGCGCACCCTCGAGTACTCGTACAACGACTTCACCATCGCCAGCCTCGCCGCCCGCCTCGACCGCGGCGCCGCCGACGTCGACAAGTACACGGACCGCAGCAGCAACTGGAAGAACCTCTTCCAGCCCAACCAGACGTCCTTCCTCAACGGCACCGACACGGGCTTCGTCGGCTTCTTCCAGCCCCGCTACCTCAACGGCACCTGGGGCTTCCAGGACCCGCTGCGCTGCTCCAACATCGACCCCTTCCCGGACAGCGTGTGCTCGCTGCAGAACACGGCGGGCGAGACGTTCGAGTCGTCCATCTGGGAGTACGCCTTCTTCGTCCCGCACGACCAGGCCGCCCTCATCGCCTCCTTCGGCGGGCCCGCCGCCTTCGTCCGCCGCCTCGACCACCTGCACGACGCCAACATCACCTACATCGGCAACGAGCCGAGCTTCCTCACCGTCTTCCAGTACCACTACGCCGGCCGCCCCGCCCTGTCCGCCCGCCGCGCCCACTACTACATCCCGGGCTTCTTCGGCACCACCCCCGGCGGCCTGCCCGGCAACGACGACAGCGGCACCGGCGGCGCCTTCGTCGCCTTCGCCATGCTCGGCCTGTTCCCCAACCCCGGCCAGGACGTCTACCTGATCGTGCCGCCCTTCTTCGAGGACGTCAACGTCACCAGCCCCGTCACGAACAAGACGGCCCGCGTGCGCAACGTCGGCTTCGATCCCACGTACGAGGCCATCTATATCCAGAGCGCCACGCTGGACGGCGTCGACTACACGCGGAACTGGGTCGATCACAGCTTCTTCACCGAGGGGAAGGAGCTGGTGCTGACGCTGGGCCGGAACGAGAGCAAGTGGGGGACGAGGGTCGAGGATCTGCCGCCCAGCGTGAGCGAGTATACTGGCTTCAATGAGACGGCGTGGAGCGGGAGTGCGAGCAGGGCGAGGAGGAGGGCGCCGGTGCAGCCGAGACTTCCGATGGCGGTGGACTTTTGGCCCGAGGGGAAGGTTGGGGGGTTGTAGCGACGGGGAGGGGAGGGGAGGGGAGCAGGCAGGCATTTCTCCACGCCCCCCCCCCATGCGCAGCTCGCGGGGTTTCTGGCTGGCCCCACTTGTCACCGGTAGGGCGTCCGTCGTGTTGAGGGTTGCGAGGGCGTTTGAATGCGTCACTGCTTGACTAGACCGACGCTAGTACCACTGCAAGTATGACTGGAAAGAATGCCAGCGCGTGGGCATAGACATTTGTCACACACACCGGCCGGGCGAGATAGCGGTGCGTTATTGAAAATTGAATTCTGTCACGCCGGGAACTTTATGTCCCTAACGTTAAGTATAGGCGGACCTAGAGATGCGGAGTCCGCTGCGCAAGCGAGGTTTTCCCTAACGTTAAGCGGAAGCGGGATCCACGGAGGTGCCAGTCATCTGCTCGGGCTGGAGTGCCGCAAAAGACCGGTGACATGTCATCGATGAATGCTATTTAATTCTCCAACTTCCGGTGATGATATTCCTACAGTCACTCTCCGCTCTCTAGTCCAACAGTTTCCCTGGCTCGCTATCACTTCGAGATTCTCTAATACCGCCAAAAGCATGGTGAACATATCCATCAACTTGAAAAGCACAGGCAGCGGCTCGATCCCAGAGCTGTATACTACCAAAGATGAACTGGTTGGCGAAGTCCTGGTCACTGCTGCCAAAGACATTCACGTAGACGATCTGGATATATCCCTCATTGGTCAGTGGCCAATAGACAGCTATCGGACAAGCTTTCCACACAGAACACTGACACTCCTCGCAGGCGACACTCAAACCCACTTCGACAACTTCGGCGCCTCTCCAATAGCGCCCAGCATGACCTTCCCCACCAACAAACGCTTCCTGCATCTACGACAACCCTTCAAAACGAACCCGCGCGGCACGATCCTCAAAGCAGCCCACCCTCACTCCTTCGCCTTCAACTTCGTCGTGCCAGACCGGCTCCTGCCCAGCTCCTGCCCGTGCCGCCACAACAACAACAACACCAGTCTCGAGGACCACCTCCTCCCACCGCCCACCATGGGCGGCGCCCACCGCTGGAAAACCCACAACCGAGACACCCTGGACGACCCAACCCCCGACATGGCTCGCGTGTCGTACACCATCCACGCAAAGCTAGCGTACCGCAAGAGCAGCAGCAGCAGCACCAGCACCAGCCCGGCCCTCGCCAAAACCTCCCGCAGAATCTGCGTCGTCCCCGACTTCCCCGAGTCTCCGCCCCTCTTCCTCTTTTCCTCGTCGTCGTCGTCGTCGTCGTCGTCGTCATCATCCGAATACCGTCTCCGCCACGAAAAACACATCAAACAAAACCCGCTGTTGTCGTCGTGGTCCTCCATCTTCAACACCAGGGGCAGCAGCAGTAGCAGCACCACCACCACCACCAGCACGAGCGGCTGCCTCGTCCTACAAGCATCCCAACAACCCAGCGCGCTCAGGGGCGGCTTGCGCACCAAGTGCCGGGCGCCAACAACAATAACTCTACTCCTACGCTTCGATCCCGCGCCGTCGTCGTCGTCGTCGTCGCCAGGTGCTGAACCCCCGCCATTGAAAGACGTCAAGCGCACGCTGCAAGCGACGACGACGGTGTTTCGGCGAGCAGCGGGCTCGGCGGATGGCGGTGGCGGCGGCGGCGGTGGTGGTCAGCAGCAGGAGCGGGAGCAGGAGCAGGAGCAGGAGCGGTCGTGGTCGGAAGCCGTGGCGCTGCCTTCGTTGCGCGTGTCCGGGGCGCGGTGGCGGCGGTGCGAGGAGGAGGAGGAGGCGGAGGCGGCGGAGGCGGGCGTGGTGGTGGCACCGTCGAGCGCGTACGTCGGGGGCGGCCCGTATTTTTTGCTCCGGCTGCAGATTCCGGTCGAGTATCCGGCGGGGGGGAAGGCGCTCGTGCCGACGTTTCGGTCGTGTTTGGTGGAGCGGACGTATCGGTTGGATGTTGCGGTTACGGTTTCGGCGTTTGCGTCTGTGTCGGTGAGGGTCCCCGTTCAGCTTTGTACGTAGGGGAGGTAATTGCGGGAAGGATTATTGTTGGTGTGATGGATGGTGTTGGTGAAGTAATTGTTGGGTCCTTATGGAGTAGTTTTCGAAGAAGAAAAAGGGAACCAGGACTGCAAGAAGCCATGAAGTCATACTAGTCAGCAGGATATCCTACGAGGAGTTTGATTATTATACTTTTCCTCGGTTTTGGCCAACATATGGGGCAGTCAAACTCCGGCTTTCCATTCCGCCATTCTACCAGGCATGCTCGATGATAAGCTTCCTTACACGCCGGGCATTGGGAATAGTTCCGCGTTCTCTTCGATTGGACGCGCTTCTGTTTCTTTCCGCGTTCCCTAAAGCAAACTGCACACCAAGGTTGAGGTGGTTCGGCCATAAACTGTCGTGTTCACACAATCGCAGCACCATAGCGCCGCTTGTTTCCGCCAGAATATGCACCTCGGTTGACTCTTCAAGGACATTGTGGTGGAGTGCTGTTGTTGGTTTAGATACCCAAGGAAGTCCTCGTGGCCTTGTTCAGCGCAGAGGTTTCAGGATTGCTCGATTGGCACTCTAAGTTGTTCTGGAAGTCGTCCACGAGCCTCCCTTGCCGTAATTTATTTTGTGTGGGATCGCGCTCATTGTGCTCTCGAATGCGCTGATTGATCCTCGAGAGTCCCGAATCTTCGGTAGAAGTTAGAGTGTTGTAGAGGGCGTCCTATTGGTTATCGATGTTCTTCTTGAAGCTTCTAAGAATTCCTCCCTATTTCTTCCGCAGGTGCATAGCCTCCTGGTAGTACTCTGCTAATTGCTACAAGTACTTTTTCCACCCTGTAAACCCCTCTGAGCGAAAGCCCACTTGCCGCATGTATGTGCCACTCTCTTTACCAAGGGTTTGGATTCTCTCACCGCTCTAAATATGGTCCACGTAGAGCTCGTCATTGATGTGTTCTCCAGTGCAAAGTTCTTCTCCCTTCATATTAGCATACACTTTGCCGTCAGCCTTTTCCATAGCTCTCTCTCGATTCGAGGTCTTGACAGCCGTTGCCAGAAGCGAAATGATTCTGTTAACAAATGCAGGGTCCGGGGTGGGGGGCTAGGTTGCCAACCCAGGATGGGGAAGTTCCAGATTGATGGCTTTAGCGACAGACTTTTGGCTCACACAATCCAGTGTTGTGTCCATTTTGAAGTGTTGGCCCAACATATTGCCCTAGCATGAAAGCGTCTTTGAGCTCGAAACTGGACAAGTAACCATACGAAGGCACAAACGAGCAACGTCAATGTGGCTGATTCACAGACCTCGTTTGAATTGTCCCGCGTAGTCACTTGATCGTACTTATTACTATGCCTCTGCCGGAAGTACGAGGGTTGTTTGGATCTTTCCTTTAGAAGGTCTCCAGCAACACTCGAAGGCGGTGATATAAAGCAGATGAACGTAAGAGAGAAAAGAGGAACGGGGACGAACAAGTCTGGTGAGCCCCGCTGAGGGCAAGTGGGACATTGAGTCTGTTTTTAGACGCGGGTTGCACAACTGTACAATCTGGTCGCTGGTGGCGTCAACGGAGGCGTGCGGCAAGGCGCAGACCTGGAGGCCACGTTGGCAGAGGAAATGTTTGGTTGAGTGGGAGACAGATCAAGAAGGAGCCGTGAGGGGGTTCCGACGGGGCCTAGCGGCAGCTTGCAAGCGCGAAGAAGTCGGGGTTTGTGAAGCGGTGTTCCTCAGGGCTCCCGGGTGGCACCCGCTCTTTCCTCACACGCAGCCTGTGCAACTTTCCCATTTCGCGGAGACGCGTCGCGCGAGCAGCTAGCCTTCACGTGTTGGCTGCACATGCACTTTCCCAGCGAATGCTCCTTCCTCGACTTCATCCATCCTCACCAACTCGTCGGCCGAACCCTACTGTCATGAGACCCTACTAGCCGCCCACTCACGATACATTCTAGCAGTCGTTGCCTAATTGCCCATCATGCCCGCCGTCCGCTTCAGCGCCTCGCCGCCACCGCGCTCGCCTCCCTCACCCCGTTCACCCCCAGCCGCCAGCAGTCCGGAGCCAGCCCCAGCTCAGCCAGTCCGCTCAGCTCTTGCTCACCCTGAACCCTCACTCGAAGCTACTTTCGGCCTCATCCTCCAATCCCATGACCGGCGCTACGACAGGCAAGACGCTCTTCCACCTGGAAGTTCTGCTGGCTCGAGCCCACGCCACTCAGCAACCGAGGTAGCCGCGCTGAAGAGGCGTAGCAATCCTCAGAGACCTCCCAGGCCCACCTCTGCCGCACTACAAGGTGCGCAAGCTTACCTCGACGCCACACTCAAGCCTTCAACCATGCGCCTGCGAGATGTAGAGGCTTGGGTCGAAGACTCACTACACGCCCAGTCCATGTACAACCTCACAGCCCACTCAACCCTTGACATTCCCGCCGCCAATACTCATCGCTGCTCAGATCCGTTGTCGGCGGGCGACTGGTCCGCATTTGAGCAGATTCCCACTACCCCAGAGACCCGAATGAGGTCCGACGGCGAGCCACTGCGGCGCATGAAAAGTTCGTCCTTCTCGTCATCCTTGGGAAGGAAGCTCGCGAGATCGCCCTCGGACCTCATGACCTGGCTCAGAACTCCGTCAGCCCAGGGTTCTGCTTCTCGATCTCGATCCATTTCCCAGACTACTGATCCGCACGAAGAGGAGCAGCTGGCTTCCATCGACCGCCGCTGGTCAGCGTCCAGCCGTCGCCGCACGCTCCGCCTTTCTGACGGCTCGCAGCGCGCTCTTCCTGCTCCCAGCACTCCTCCAAGCTACCGCGCAGTCTTGAATGGACTCCACCGTCGTTTCTATAGCAACGATGCCAGCTCTGATTCGGATTCGTCGTGGACCTCCTTCGGTTGCGTCGACGGCATGCGGCGTCCCGATCTAGAGTTGAAAGTCGAACAAGATACCGATAAGAGCAAGCTCGACGGAGGCGTGCGTCAATCCAATGGGCGAGCGAACATGGTGAAGGGAGCCAGGATCGTTTCTGAAGATGCTGCAACAAACCTCAGTGACCGGACGGAGGATGCAAACCCGGAAGAAGCCGAGGACGGCAGCAGCCTCCTGTATCCATCCGGCGTGCCCAAAGATAGCGGCCCAGCGGAGGAAAACAGCCCAGTGAAGGAGACTTTGAAGAGGATCGCAAGCCGTTTTGATGTGCCCATCAGGCAGACGCGGCCGTATATGGAGAGCGATACGGCTTGCATGATGCCGTATTGAGCGTCGGTGAAGAACGAAGACAGTTGCGGACAGATGGGGTTTCACGAGGCCACGGCGTGCACGGGTGGGTGCATGCACAGGCCTTGTTTGGTTGATTGCGGGACACGAATACCGGCACTGCGGCTCATGTCGCGTGGGCTGTTTAACGGCCGTGCAGGCGTCTGGCCACTAATGCTGTACATGTTACAAGGCGTCGGTGCTCTCGTTGCTGGAAGATGCTGGTTCGGTGGGCACGGCATTTCGCATCCAAGCAATCACATGTCATGGGAAGATTAGGAGAGACAGAGAGTTTGGCACAGTCCGATACGTACGCTATCTGCTTAGGGTTATACGAGGCAGAGACAGAAGGAATCAGGTAGCTGAAGGTGCAGGCGTAGATAGCGGGCGGCACGGAATGAAATAGGTTGCAATGATGATTTAGTGCTGGGGAGCGGAGGGCCGGAGCGACGGCCGGCTGACTGCAGCGCGGTCCCGCCCAGGCTGCAGCGTTCCGACGGCGGCCGCCATTCATGCGCGCGAGGCTAAATGCGGGGGCGAGAGCGGTGCCGGGGGGTGTGGGCAGCCGGGGCGCGGGTACCTTTGGCAGCAGCTGGCGAGGGCTGGCGGGCGAAGTCGCGGGCGAAGTCGCGAGCGAAGGGAGAGCGAAGGGAGACGGCGGCTCTGATAGCGGCCCTTGGTTGGGCGCGGCTGTCCAATGACGGTAGTCGTAACAGCTCAGCTTCGATTCTGACGAGCCTGACCGCCTGCACGACCGGCTGCCAGCGAACCTCCTCCTCCACTCGCGTGTCCGGCCGCCGAGGCCCCCCTCTCTCTCACCAATTGACGCGTATGGCCAGCTGCGGCGCCATCAGAAGCAGCTCCAGCCCTGGGCCTCATCGATACGCCTGCGCCCCCCGCAAGCCCGCGCCGTCAGAGCCTGCCTGCCCGCCCGCCCGCCCGCCTCCCTTTGCCTCCACCCGCCACCCCGAGGGTGCGCGTCAGCGAGTCCTTTAGCCGCAGCCTGCGAGAGCAAAAGCAAGAATGCCGTCGCCGGAACAGCCGCCGAGGCGCCCTGCAGGCCCCAAGCGCAACCAGTCGTCGCAGTCGCACGTCTCGCAATCCCCGTCCGACGGCCAGCAGAGCGTCCAGCAGTATCCCAACAAGCAGCATAAAGCCCAGCGACATGTCGTTGGCCACGGCCGCATGGGTCCGCGCAACCCCTCCTATAAAAACCTGTCCAAGGCAGGCGCCCAGCGCCCGCAGACGGGCGACGGCAGCACGAGAAATCATCAGCGCACCCTGTCGGGTAGCTCCACCCCGGTGCCAGCAGAAGTCCAGGCCGTCCGCCCTGGCTTAAAGCGCAATGCCACTGCCTCCGCCGTGCCGCGCAACACGTCGCATGCCGTGCTGAAGAAGAACCACTCCAGCAGCCATCTGCCGCGCCAGATGTCCACCAAGAGCATGCACAAGCACCGCACCAGCAGCGACCTCGAGACATTGAAGCGTGCCCACAAGCAGCGCAGCCGCCAGGTCTCGCCCGAGCCCGAGCCCGACCACCCCGCCGTGCGCTTCAATCTAGGCGCTGACGACGGCAGCGAGGACGACAATGACTGGACCGAGGAGAGCGCCTCGCAGTCGCCCGCCACCACTCGCTCCAACACCCGCCAGAACTCGGTCGTGCTCGACCCGCACAAGCAAGCCTTCTCCGCGCAGCAGCAGCAGCAGCAACAACAACAGCAGCAGCAGAAGCAGCAGCAACAGAAGAAGAAGCAGCAGCAGTCGCAGCAACAGCAGCAACAGCAGCAGCAGGCCGCCAGCGACGACGACACCGACACCGACACCGACACCGACACCGACGAGTCGACCGAGACCGATGCACCCAAGCGCCGGGCGCACACTCAGCCGCACTCGCGTTCGACGTCCCACCCGGGGTCGCCCAACAGCCGTCGGGATGCGGATCGGGTGACTTACAGCAGTAACCAGATCAATGGAGCCAGCTCATACCACCAGCCCAACCTCCCCGATGCCGACATGATAACCTCGCGCATCCTGCAGCGGAGTGCCTCGCACAGCTTGCGGCCCCAGGTCTCGGACGTCTCCGCCACCGTCGTCTCCGACTCGCACGACGCGCGCTCGCTCAGCCATTCCACCGGATCTACAATGATAGATACACCAGGCGGCAACAAGGAAGCAGTCTCGCGCTTCATTGACGGCGATGGCTCCTCCGGCACGCCCCGGGACAGCAGCATTTTGCCGCACCATCCCAAGGGCTCTGGTGGTGAACTCACGCCCGGCAAGCGCAACAAATCCGTTCCCAACATGTCTGACAGGGAGCCTTCAACCAAGCACCGCCGCCACGTCTCCTCCGGCACCGCTACTCCAACCGATCTCCATCCTTCCCGGACTCAACAAAAACTATGGCTGCAGCGCGCCAGCTCCAACATTGAACCCCAGCAAAAGGAATACCTGCCCCGCAATGGCCACTCAACCTCGCAGCTGTACCCTGCCGGTGTAACGTATACGCCCTCGGGAGAAGTCGTCATCGACAGGGAACTGCTCCGCCGTTTTGATGAAGCCGCGTCGGAGTACAAGGTCGTACGGCGCTTCCGGAACCCTGTTGCCGACGCCATAGCCCGCCTCGCCGAGATCCCATCGAGCCCGCGCAAGAATCGCAATTCCCTGTCGGTCAAGTCCGGCGGCGCGCAGCAGCAACGGCCGAGCACGAACGCCGGGCCCGGACCGGACGCGGGCGTCAGCGGCCTGGTGCGCCAGCACAGCCTCAGGGCGTCGAGTGCCGGCGAGGGGATGGATCGCGAGCGGGGCACGCCGACGAGCGTGACGGAAGCGGTGGCGGCGGCGAGGAGAGCGCGCGTCAGTTTCGATCTGCCGGGCCGGGGAGACTCGCCGCAGGACCGGGTGGCGGCGGAGAAGGACGAGATTGAGGAGATATGTCGCAGGATTTGGGAAAGAAACGAGCTGCCGGAGGGAGAGTGAGAGCGCGAGAGCGGAGGTGGGAATAACGATTGCCAAGGGACAAGAGTAGTGGAGATTGGATGCATGACGTACCTCCTACCGATTGCCAAGGAGAGAAGAGAAACCAGCACGGTCAAAAAAAAAGAAAAAACCAAAGCTCGAACAGTTTCAGCATCCGCGGCTACCGGCTAGCATCGGCTACCTCGCTGCTGCTGTTCTTTGCTCTGCGACGTTGCTGCGTTGCCCCCCTCTCTCTCTTAACCGACTATATTCATGCAACCTACCCCTTATCATTCTTTCAGGGGTCGGCCATCGCGGACCGGGCTTCCTTTGAGGGATCGACGATCGACAACGAGACTGATACTGGAGACGAGCGACAGAGGGGGAGGAAAGACCTGACTGTGGAGAGGAATGTGCGGAAAATATAAAAAGAAATCTATACCGGTATGGGGGGGCGGTTCGGGAAAGTTCAGGGGTGGGGAAGGGAAAGTGCGAGCGAGAGTGGACTGCGGTGGACCGCGAAAGCTTGACGGGGGGGGAGGCTATGGAGGGCATTTCAGAGAAGATCATCTCTTCGCTGTTGATGATCTCCCTGTGATGGTGAGGAGAGCACGGGCGTCCCGGTGTCTGTGTTCCCCCGTATTGCATTGGATTTCTTCTTCTACCACCTTCGAAGAACGCTCGTGCGTCGTCGGGCCCCGGCCGACCGACCAAGGGACCCACACACATACACACAAGAGCTGGGGAAGGGAACCGGCAACAACAGAGAGCCAAGAGCGATACCCATACGGGCTTCATTCCGGAGAGAGGCGGAGAATTGGGGGAATCCACTTTGCAAACGAAGGCGGCTTGCCCGGTGGCGGGCGTTGCAATCGATACCTGTCCGATATGCACAATCGGTTAGTAGGGAAACATGGGGTAGGGAGTAATTAGTGGTGGGGGCCTTTTTTTTTCTTTTCTTTTTTTGCAAGCAAGCATTCTGATGGGCGCGCGGCGGGCTGCTTTTATTAGCTTTTGGTTGGTAGGGAAGGGTTCGTAACATACGTTTTTTTCTCTTTCCCTTTTTTTTTTGTTTTTGCCATTGCACGGGAGCTGGTGGAGTTTTCAATGACAACTTACCTGGTTTTTTTGTTTGCTTTCTTTTCTTCTTCTTTCTCTTGATGATACTTTTCTTCCTTTTATTACTACTACTACTACCCCTTCCGTTAGACCAGTCGGGATTTTGGCTGCTTACGTATGGACTTCTCACTTTCTTTTTTTTTTGTTTGTCCCTTCTTCTACCTCTTCTGCTTCGCTGCTTCCCGTACGTCGATGATGATGCCCACCACCCCTTGGTCTGTAGTGCGAATAGTTGTTGGCTGTGCTGATTATGTTATGAATCACTGTGGTGTTTATATTGCTGTGCTGCTGCGCCTTTTGACTTCCTTCTCTCTTTCGTCATGCCCTTGGTTTTCTTCTGGGGAGGGGAGGGAAGAAGGTGCTGTGCTTTCCTGTATTTTCGCCTCCGTCGTCCCGTCTGTCCGTCTGTCCGCCCGTCCGTCCGCCTTTTTTTTTTCGGATTCTAGGTGAACGGGTGTGAGGGGCGTGGAATCGATAGCTTCCGAAATGCTTCTTGTGGCCTGTCTGTCCCCCCCATCCACCATTTCTTGCTCTTTGGATATTACTGTAGTCTGTAGATGGGGTGGGTAGATACCAATCTGAACGTGTGCACATGATGAGGAGATGGGGAGGCGGGACTGGAGGAGGGGAGGGAGGTAGATGATCCTGGAGGATGCAAAGTAGCTGGATAGCTATAGGAAGTAGGATACGGGACTTTTTGAAGCTGGCTTGCGATGCAACAAGTGAGGGAGAAGGAGGAGGGGTGGGGAAGAATGATCTATGATGTTGAACAGTTGTGAGGGCCGTGGAAGGTTTGTTTATGTGCGTTATCTTGTGGTTTTAGCTGGCTTGGTCCTGGTGGGTGATGCGCTTGGACGGAATATTGTTGGTGTTTTTTTTTTTTTTTCGTACGGGCAACGAGTTCTTCCTGAGCGGCGCTGGTTGTCCTTTCGTCTTCTCTTCTCGGGATCCTGATGCAATGGTTTCTTCTGTGCTCTGTGTTGGTCTTGAAGCGGGTTGAATAGAAAGCCGGCTGGATTACGCCGCTCCCATATTTCGAATATATCCTTTTCGTCCGTCACCTCTGCAAAGCTCTCGGCCCTTTACCCTCTCGCTACTTCAAATCAAGACACTACCCGTATGAAACGCACTTCATTCGACCTGTGTCTCTGCGTGTCCTGCAACCGCGCAAACAGTGAGGAGCTTTCATCAACTATGGCACCTCATATCACGCCATAATGGCGAGGATGGGGGGGGGGGGGGGGGGGGGAGACAACCGGGGGGGGGGGGGGGGGGGGGGGGGGGAGACCAACACCCCCCCAGAAAAAGAAAAACAAGTATCGTATCGAACCTGGCGGGATGATGGATTTCCTGACGGTAGTGTGTGTGTGATCTGCATCATGTGCAAGTATGTCTGCCTGTCAGCCTGTCCGTCTGGCAGCTGCAATGTGTGCGTTGTGTTCAAACAACCTGCAAGGCCCTCCTCCTTCCTCTCCGCTCACTGAGACTGTGAGCTGCAGTCTGTGGGTTACACATGCGCACGCGGGGGTGAGCCAGGCACGCGAGCAAGCGGGTCAGCAAGTGGAACGACACGTGCACGAGCCCTTGCCTGCCTGCCTGCCTGCCTGCCTGCCTGCCTGCCTGCCTGCTGGCTAGTTGAGAGGAGGAGTATCGAATCGAGTCAATCTTTGACGCCTCATGGAGAGCCGATGTACATCCTTACATGCGCGTTGCTGTTTCGAGTTCTTTTCCGCACGACGCAAGAGATAAATGATGGGGCGGGCGCTGGGGGATTATGGGCTCGCCTGCCATGTGGGTGATGGGGATGTGTCTTTCACTGGTCACTTTCTGGCACGCTGTGTGTGCATTTATGGCATGGTTCTTTTTTGGTCTTTTCTTCTCTCCTCACCCTCAATCCCCTGGGATGCACAGTTCAGACATACGCGCATCGGCTGCATACGCTAAACGATGGCATAAGCTGCTCGGAAGAGCCACGTTCGACTGAGCTTCTGGTACCGCACCCGTGTTTTATTCTTATTTTAGTTTGCATTGTTTTTATATTTCATGCTTTCGATATGATTCCTATCGCATGTGCATGCTTCACGTGCTGTATCCGGTGAGGAGCGGCGCCATAGAGTGAGTCACTTGAGGTGGTGGCATGCTCATGGAGTACTACTGTTTAGGTGCGCCATGCGCCAGCGGTTGCTGTAGGTACACCCGGGCTGAGCGGGGCTGGGCGGGGCCGAGCTGGCCAGAAGTGTGCATTGTTGTCATGACCATTGTGCCGCGTGTGGGCTGCTGTACAACGGTGGCCACTCTTTCACCCTGCCGCGCGGCTGCAGTGAGAGGAGACGAAGTGGACAGATGGTGGCCTTGCCGGAACAATGCGGAGCTGACGAGGAGAGGGAGGGAGAGAGAAATTCATGACCACGTTGGACAAGAGTCGGGTAAAAGAAAGAGCGGTTAAGGCGGACGTTGTTGGTCGGTGTTGGTCGGCGGTTCTCTCTGCCGTCTTACTCGTATCTGGACACTTTTGGGGAAGTGATTTGCGGACTCGCGATATAGAGATCATCGGTGCTGGTCCCCACCGAGACTATAGGAAAGGCAGAGCTATCTTGTTCGGGCCGGGCTTCAGAGGCGTTCTGGAACCGGGGATGGACGTTGGCTTGGCCTGTTCGCTCCGAAGACGCAATTTGCAAATCCTATGCGTCGAGGAATTTTTCATGCTCATCATGTGGGATTGTGCAGCGAGGATTATTGCAGATGCCGCAGGCGGTGTGACACGACGGGCTGAAAACTGAATCGTTCCGAGCATCGGGTGCCACGGGTGCCACGGGTTTGCGGATGGAGGGAGCGATGGACAGGTACAGCGTCCCAGGACCGCCCTCGGGCGGCCCCTATTCCTTCTATTCCCGTGGGTGCTATTCTAGGGCGGACGCAAGGAGAAAGAGAAGGACGTGATATGCAGATGTGCGGGATGTACGGATGTACAGCCAGCGCAGCCGTACCTGCATGTGGTGTCACCACGTAGCACCACCTCAAGCGGCGCGCCAGCTGACGGCTCCGGCAATGAGGCAAATAAGAACGAAATAGGGCGCGGCTTGTGGGGGATCTCCGAACGCCTGGCAACTGGACCCTCGAGCGGCAGCCATGTCTCACCTTGTTTTGCTGGACCGCGAGACGCACAGGTTCGAGGGAGCGAGCGCGCGGGCGACGCCACTGCTGTCATGGTCGTGGGCCAAGAGATTGGGCGTGCGATGCTTGATCGTGAAGCCGGGGCGCTCGTAAAGGGGGAGGCGGCTTGGGCACGCTCTCACGGACGGGTAAGCTGATGCTGGAACCCGTGACAGGGACAGGCAGGCGGAGGACTGACGGGCATTCGCTCGGCGAAATTGGGTGGGTTGGAGCTGGAGAAGGGACCACAGGACCGCAGGACCACATCCGCCGACTCGCTCCGGCCGCCGTCTGCCGCCTGCGCCCACGTCTGCATTGGCTCCGCGGCCTCACCGCCCGCTGCAGCCTCCGGGGCGGTCGCTGGCACGGGGCCTGCCAAGACGCTGACGATGGGCTGCAGGTGCACTCGGTCGACAAAGCGCGGATAGGGGCAGCCGGCGGGCAGCCAGCGGGCAGCCAGCGGGCAGTCTGGTGGGGTGGCGGCGGCGGCGTCGGCGCGCGCAGCAGCACTGGAGGAGTTGAGGGTGGTGGTGCAGATGACGATAGAGGCAGACCAGGGCGGATTGGGACAATTAGGCAGCGCGGGGAGCCACGAGACAGACGGCGGCGGCGCAAGGGAAATGAGCCGGTGGTTCGGCCCAGTTTGGCAGTTTGGCAGTCGCAGGCAGCCGGTCTGGGACGGTCGGCTCGAGCAGGAAACGGCGGCAATCAAAGTGACACCGCCCACCGCCCGGCACGCTTGGTCGCAGAGCTGGGGCAGAGGGTGTCGCAATGTCGTTTCAGTCGCGCGCGCATTTCAGCTCAATATTGGCCGTCATCTGCGATGGGGGCTAGCGGGCGATTGCCGGGCGATTGTTGTGCTGGCGTGAGATTGTGTAGACTGCGCGCAACGAGCAAGAGCCGCCAGGAAGCAGCGTGCAATTTCCCGGGCGCACATCAGCCCTCTCTCGGACGCATGCGCCGGCGGGCACAACCGCTCAAGCCTGCCCGGCCCCTGCAAGCCTCCTCTCCCCCCACAATCCGCCAGCTGGGCGGCGAATGAAACCGCACAGATGCACCTTAAACAGGCACGCTAGACCGACTCGGCCTGTGCGCCTGTCGCCGGCCTTGGCCCCAATTTCACCGCCGCCGAGTTAAAATGCTGCCCTCGCCCTCAACACCACGCTTCTGCTCGTTGCGTCGCTCTCTGCCTCCGATTGCTCCAAAGCCTTCGTCGCTCATTCAGACCGAACTTCTGCTCTGAGCAGCGCTCGCGCCAGTCACTCTTTTACCACCACAAGAACAACAACAACAACAAAAACAACAACAACAGTCAATCGACAAGCGCCACTCTCCAGTAACTCACTCACCCGGGATCCCCACGAGAAAACCACCACCACCACGATGAAGACCTTCAGCCTCGTTGCCGCCTCCATGGCCCTGCTGTCCGGCCTCGCTGCCGCCGACGACCAGACGACGTCCGTCTCGACCCTCACCAGCACCCGCACCGTGCTGCATGTCGTCACCGAGACGCACTACTCCAGCACCGAGCTCGAGACGTCGACCGAGCTGATTGCTACCCCGGTCGTCGCCACCTCCAGCGCCACCCCCGTCAGTGCCACCCCCGTCAGTGCCACCAACACGCCCGTCACCACGCCCGTCGTCTACTCTGCCGGCAACTCGACCACGCCGCTCGGCACCGGTGGCTTCGTCAGCAGCGCCAAGGCCACCGGCTCGGGCTCCGTCGCTGGCGCAACCGGCGCCGCCTCCGCCTCGCCCACGCCCCCCACCGGCGCCGCCTCGTCGCTCAAGATCGATGCTGCCCTCGCGGCCATCGTCGCCGGTGCCGGCTACCTCCTGCTGTGACGGGTGTGAAGCCAAAGCCAAAGCCAAAGCCATAGCCTTCTCCTCGTCCTCCTGGCGGAGGGCCGACCATTTTTCACTTCGCCACCACCCTGATGGATGCGAGTCTCACCATTTCTGCATTCGGATTGGAGTCGTCTGAGCTGTCTTGCGGGAAAAGGTCTTGCTGCTACAAAATCATCAACCCATTTTCTCTCCCATTGACGAGTTACGTTTCTATACCCCGATCCACCTGCCTACCTACCTCACTACACCCCGGAAACCCGCGCTCCATACGATGCTTAATGTCTGTTGCCCTTCCCTCAACACCAACCTTTACTGTCCTTTTTACCTCTTTTACACCTTTTTTTGCGCCAATCTTTCCCCGCTCGCGGAGGAAATTACTTCGACTCATCTCGCAAGCGACGAGCAACAAACCACCCCTCACCCCTTCCGGAGCATAGATATCATGGAGGCGCGTCTGGGACGGCTTGGAGATACCCCAAATTTTACTAGTGTTCTTTCACAAAATTTACGCAAGATGCATCTAAACATTCTGGAGAGCTTTCCTTTTCGTCGAGATACCAGGCCTGGAGGAGATTATTCCATCCTTGACATTGACCACCTTTTTCCTTGGCAATTCTTTTTTGTTTTTCCATAATCGCAGTCCTGCACACGCTGCAGACAGTCGGACGTCCGACAAGTAAATCCAAAGTCGGAGCTCGGGGAGCAGAAGGAGAAATTGCTCATCCCGGCGACGATTCATCTAAGATCTTGGCCCGATCTCACAGTCTGCCACGCGAATGATGTGACGCATAATGTTCGATTTCTAAGCGCCGCCAACCAACGCTCGAGAAACACGCAGGCCACGTAGACGGTCGCAGCGAGCACAAAGTATCGTCGGCTGCTACGTGATCGCCCAAACAATCATCAACGACGTTTCCGCTCACTGTCGCTCCTGATCCTCACCGCAAGACCGTTAACGTTTCAAAACTGCCAAGCGCGACAAGAGATATCCCTTCGCTTAAAGAAACACCACGGAGCGGCCTTCACCAAAATACTAGCCTGAGGCATGTCTACGTACCACGGCCGCCCCCAGCGGCGATCTGTCTCGTCGTCGCCTCAGGTACCAAACAGTCAGGTTTCGACGCACACGTCTCCTTCGCCATCTTCTTCACTCTTGTTTGGCCGATGAATAAACGCAACAAAGGTAAAGACAACAAAGCTTTGTCTACGCCCGCGCAAGCTTAATTGACGCATGGAGTGTTTTGTGGCGGGCTACTCCACAGCAGACTATCGTTTCACAAGCCGGCCGACGCCTCGCTCCGTGCCGTGGGCACGCGACCTCTCGCTCTTTTCTCTCCCCTCTTCCTCTCTCACGCACACAGCCCAGAGGAAGAAAGGGCGGACGGAAAAAGTGGTGAGAGAGCGGCACCAGCCGCGGGCGTCTAACCTGAAGGGGGACCTGGAGGCGGCCTTGGGCTCGTTTACAGGCAAGACCAGGGGCTTGGTGAGTGCTTGGCAGAGGCAAAGCACAGGGCTTCGACTGCTGTTGAGACGTTTTCGAATCCCTAGTGCCGGGCATCTGGAAGGAAGGAAGGAAGGAGGAAGAGAAGGGAAGGAAAAAAAAAAAAACAAGTGTTCTGTTGCGGTCTGTCTGATGAACGACGCATACCCACTGAAAACTGCGGGTTGTCGTTTTCTGCAGGTCCCCGATGCGAGATCCGACGGACGCGGACTGCAGGGATCCCTGCCTGCCGGGTTTCTCTCTCGGCTGCTGGGATGCGGAAGGGAACAGAGAAGGAAAAAGCGGAGGCAAGCTCGCTACGGGGCGGGTGCTGGATGCCTGGCTCCGGTGCTCGGCAGTCGGAGCGAAAAGAAAACAAAAAAACAGGCCAGAGGAGATTGCCGACGCCGCAAAAGCCGCAAGCGAGTCGCCAAGAGGTTGGTTATCATCCTGCCGAAGAGCTTCCTTTCGTTGGCGTGGGTTGGCCGTCAATCGTTTTGCGGTGCGTGCTCACGCCGTCGCCCGCCAGCAAGATTTGGATTCTGACTCTTTCCATCCTGTCTACTCTTTGCTCTTTTGGGCGGCCTGTTTCCTTTCTGTCCGAGCGCCGTGATAGCAACTCGCCTAGCCTGCTTGCTGACTGGCCTGAAGAGGGAAATTGCAGCGATTTAATTTATCATCCGCGTGATTGCCAAGAATATAGACACGTAACTTCATACGTGCAGTATACAAATTACTTCTTTTTCGCCCCACTGGTCTTTCAATGCACATGTCGCTGATGATTGATTGCACGCTGGCGCAGGTCGATGCTGCGGGCCGGCGGCGGCGTCTCCCCTTCGCCATCATTTCCCCATCCTGCCTTGCATGCCCTACTATAACTTCATCCAATCACATCGCTTCCTCTTTCCGGGAGAAGCAACGCGACCCTTGCCAAAGTCTGTGACATCATCTAATCATGAGCCAAGGACGTGCGCAAAATAACCTTACTTTAAACTTGCATCTTTGCTTGAACCTCTCCTCGCCTTCGCCTCATTTTCTTTCCTGGGACTTGTTGCCATAAGGATGGACTGCATTCCACCGCGTGGACTCGTGGAACATACACGCTGCGCTGCTATAAGACAATAGGATTTCGTCACTTCTTGCACGCATGGATTCGAGGATGACTTACTTTGCACACGACACATGCCCGCGATTCCTCTCCGTTCCGCCAGCCACAGGCCTGCCGTCTCGAACCTCCTTTTGCTGAAATGACAGACAAAAACACGTCCGCGAATCGGCGAGCCCGTCGAATGGAATGGGGGGCCTGTGCCCGCGCGCGACACAAAGAACGAGACAAGAGAAAAAGAACAAAGCATTCACATTCCACAGTCGCACCTGATGGCCGAGACAGAACCAAGCAAAACCCCCCATCATCGTACGCCGTACCTACGTCGTCCCATCAAAAGTCTCTCTCTCGAGACCCACATTCCCCCGCACGCATCGAGCCGCGCCGCGCCGCCTCCGCCATGTCTTGTTTCTCCTTGGCCCTGGGGGGGAAGCCGCGGTCCCAAGCCCTACCCGCCGCGGGCAAGAAGGAGATGGCAATAATTGGGGGGGGGAAATACGAACCCACAAGCCAGCCGCTGGTGCCGGTGGATGTTGTTGGTGGGTGCCTGGGTACTTTTCAGCTGCGCCTCGGAACGCCAAAAAAAAAACGACTTGCTGCGACGCCACATCCGCGCGTCATCCGTTAACGGTTTTTCTTTTTTTCTTTTTCCCTTTTTTTCCCTTCTTATTCCTTCTTCTTCCCCCGCACCCGTGCTTTTCGGAACTTGTACGGATGTATTGAGACATGGAGGAGGGGGTTCGACGACCTACATGAGTCGTCGGTGGATCGAATCGCGGTGGGATATATGTAGATGGGCTGGATGGGGGTTCTTTCTGCAGCTCGTGGCTGCACTAGAAGAGCAAAACACGTGAAGGACAAACCAATCAGCTCATCAATCCCTACCACGGATACAACTTGACGGCAAATACCAAACCGCTCGCGAGACACGAGACCTTATT